ATGTTGTAATTTTTTTCTGAACACAGATGACAAGCCAATTTTCAGACCATTTGCCCATCTCGGAAGTACCATTTTTTCTGATGAACATTATAAATCATCAGAAAAATTTATTTGTCTAATTTACAAGTCGAAAAGCCTATGTACTGTGGCAGACCTACGTTGGAACTTATACTCCATCAAAAACCAACACGGCGAAAATCTTCCTCCAACACTAGATACACTTAGACTTGTGTGTTCACTTTTTAGAGCAAGATTTGTTGCCACTATTTGGCAAAAGAGTGTCGAATGTATTTCAGAATTACCCAATCTTGAAAACCATGGCTGGAAGCTTACAGATGGAATGTATCAGGTTATACCCCTAACGAATGGTCCAGCCCCAGAGTCTATTATTTACTTAACTAAATGTAGCTGCAAAAAAAGCTGTAGTGGTAACTGCAGTTGTAAGAAAAAATCATTACCTTGTTCCGAGTCTCGCTTATGTTCGGAGTTTGAGTGTACCAATAATAAAGTAAACAGTCTGGACAATAATTTGGATGTGTCATCAGAGTTCAGATAGCGAATAATCTTTGCATCTTTGTATCTGTATTATGTATGTATATTTACAAAACATTTGACTGAGTTTCTTCATCTAGAAGGTTATCATTACTTTTTAGGTCCTAAGAAATGCTACCCTTGGCCATCACAAGTAAATTGATAAATGAATGTTATCTAGAGATTCCTCCAAAATAAACATAAGCAAATTTGCAGGATTTTAAAAGATGGTCTAAACAATAAACATTTCATAGAAATAGCAATTTTTTTTTTTGGAATTCTCATTAAGAAACATATCTTCTCTAACTCGCTGATTTTAGGGACACCCTGTATAAAATATTTTTATGTAAAAGATAGCTCTAGGTATATTTGGCATAATACTCTATTTATTATTTACGTGAGAAAATCGGCTTTTAAGGAAATTGACTATTTACGTGAGAACATCGGTTTTTAAGGAATTTGCTTATATGCTTATCTTGGAACACCCTGTAGCTACTTTTACTACTGATTTTTTTACTTAAACTTTACTGTTATAAATTTCAAGACTTTTTTTTATAGAACTTAGGTAGTTATGTAATTTTTAATGCCAATTATCATTTTTATTAAATTTCTTAGCATTTTCGAAACCTGTCAATTTCGCCATTTTTTTAACCCCCTGTAAAAAATATACAAACGATTTTTGAGAGTGCCAACAAGTCAATATGGTTTAATATAGTCCTTTACTACACATTGAAACTTATTTCACAATTTTAGCACGACTTAAAAACGAAAAGTCATATTAGACCCTACTATTTAAAGATATCAAGGTAAACAAAAAAACAAAATGTAGGATAATAGCCAAGTTTTTTTTCAAGTTACACATGAAACAAAACATCAAAACAGTATCAATTTTTTGACATATAAGCCTACATTATATTTTTATTTACAATCATACATGTAATGTTGACTTTACTGACTTTTAAAAAGTTCGAAAATGTCACTTTTTTGACTTTTACTTTCGACCCACGGGTCGAAAGTAAATGAAATTTTTAAAATTTATTGTATTTTTTGACTTTTACTTCCGGCCCACGGGTCGAAAGTAAACTTTCGACCCGTGGGCCGAAAGTAAATGAAATTGTTAATTATTGTATTTTTTAGTTTTAATCCAAATGAAAATTTCAAAATTCGAATGATTGTAAATAATAGTATATTACATACCGAGGTGGAAAGTGTTTCATTACTGTCGAGAGATTTTAGTTAAATGTGTAAAAGTGTAATTAAAATTTCGAGACAGTAATGAAACTTTTCACCGAGGTATGTATACTATTTTATTTACAATCATTCGAATTTTGAAATTTTCATTTGGATTAAAACTAAGAAATACAATAATTAACAATTTCATTTACTTTCGACCCGTGGGCCGAAAGTAAAAGTCAAAAAAGTGACATTTTCGAACTTTTTAAAAGTCAGTAAAGTCAACATTACATGTATGATTGTAAATAAAATAGTATACATACCTCGGTGAAAAGTTTCATTACTGTCTCGAGATTTCAGTTAGACCTCGGCTGCGCCTTGGTCTAACTTAAATCTCTCGACAGTAATGAAACACTTTCCACCTCGGTATGTAATATATATACTATTTTTATTTTGGTTTCATATCGAAGTCTTTTCGACACTAAAAGTAGTTTCGAAAAGAAGCTTTTTGTGACACTCCTTTTTCACTTATCGGAAGTTAAAGTTAACTTTTTGAATTACATGTAATTTCAAAAATTAACTTTAAGTTAACTCTCAACGTAGTTTTATAATACCCGCCCTTAATTCTATATTTGGCATGTAATGTTACCAACCTAAACATGAAATCAGGAAATATGAGACTAAAATTTCCAAGAAATTTTTTTTTTTTTTTAATTAAACAATACCAGAATAGAAAAAATAGTATAAAATATTCGTTTCATAAGACATTTTATCACACTCGTCCTTTAAAAATCTCGCCTCCGGCTCGTTTTCTAATATAGGGCTCGTGCGATAAAATCACGTCTTATGAAGCTTGTATTTTAATGTACTATTTTTAAATGGAACACCCGGTATATTATATGTGTGTTCGTTAGAGCATATTATTCTGATTACAATGATATAACACACTTCATATTTTGTTCCACTCGTTTTTGACAAATCGGCAAAAATATATGAAATTTTTATATGGATGGATTAAATAGGAAAATATGCAGGGTTTTTTGGTAAAAGTAGAAAAAAAATGGCACATCACTATTTTTTTAAACCTTTGATATTTTTTTCAGATTAAGCAAGTCATATTTCAGTCAAAAGAAACCTTTCGTTATCACAAATCAACCTGCCAAATTAAAAAAAAAAAAAAAATGGAAAAATTTTTGAGCTGAAAAAACGAGTTTTTCTAAAACTTTGACACCCTGTATCTCAGAAACTACGCATGTCTGGTCACATATTTATGGGAACTTTTTTTGATAAAATATCGTAAGGAATGACATCCTGAAGTTACGGACCGTACTTAGGAAATACCCTGTATATTTTTCTATTTTTTGACCACCCTGTACATCCTATTTCAACTTTTAATACATAGATTGATATTATTTTTTCAAGAAGCAGAAACTCTTATAAAGGATAACTTTTTTTCGTAAAATTGATAATAAAAAAGTTTCCCATGTGCTGCGAACTTAAGTGGATACACTGTATTTTATGAGAAAATTTCATGAATCAAAAATTCAAATTTTTTGTCAAAACACCAGTTCTCGCATTAGTTACTATGCAATAATTTACACTAATATAAATTATCACGTAATTCCAATCTGATTGGTTCAAATCAACAATCAAAACATGTTAGTTTATTGTTGGTATGTCAGTTTTGACAAATGTATGAAATTCTCATCAAAAAAACGGCCACTAAAATCAAAAATCGACGTATCCGAGATTTTTTGAAAAAAAAAATCAACCTTGTATTTTTGATGGATTTTATTCCTAACCTTCACGTACTAACTGTATTTAACTATGCTATATGATATCCTCTTTCGTTTATTGAATTCTAGTAAAGTTATCTTTGTTCATTTTGAGTTCATTATGAAATATATTCACCATAATTATTTACACAAACTAATAACTGGCCTTGCAGTCCTCTCGCGTTGTGTAATTTTTACTTACCCCGGTGCGAAATTAAATCCGCCAGAGGCAGCACCTCGCTGCAGCCAAAATTTTTGAATTTCCGTGTTTGCAGGGCTTACAATTTGAGACGAGATCTCAAAAACTACTTAATATTTTTTAGTGAATCAAGAAGATTTGAAAAGATAATAAAATTTAGAACAATGCTCGTTTAATTTTTTTAAAAAAAGCGATGGGTTTGGATGTACCGAGCGATAGAAATTATGCTTTTTTTCGAGTATTTAGGTCGTGATATTTTCAGTTTGCAATTTTTTTTTTCGAAAAACTAAAACAACAGCATTATTCTTTAGATTTTTATCTTTTATTATTTTCTAATCCAGTCAAAAAATATCACAAAATAAGTGAGTTCTCGTCTCGAAAAATCAACCCTTTTTCTCAATTTTTAACGGCTCTTAAGGTTTCAAAATTGTAAAAAGCATTACAATTCAGGTTCTTAAAAAAAATTTCCGGACAAAAACAATGTAAGAGCCAATACAATTTTTTTTCTGCTGAAATTGTGTTTTAGCGTAATTGTAAGTCACACAAAAAAGCCTCAAACTAAGTTTAATAAACAAATCGCCCCCACCAACTATTTTGTGACCTTCCGAAAAAAGTAATCAAAAAGTCGCAGAAAAATTTCAGTCATTTCTGAAAGACTAGTGGCCGTTTCCACCGACAATTTTAAGGGAGGCTTAACGATAAGTATTCCTTAAAGTGACATTTTTACATGTAGACATGTCATTTTAAGTTATACTTATCGTTAAGCCTCCTTTAAAATTGTCGGTGGAAACAGCCATAGGAGCGATTTAAAAGTCGTCAAATTTCAAATCGCTCTCCTGTAAAATTTGAAATTGTCACTTACAATGTTTTCTTTTGGAGGCGTCCATATGCAAGTGTGACAATACTCCTAATTCATGAAATTATTCATTCATCCGTTAGACGTCAGATTGCATACCTAACAGTTTATCAGAAGGTGCATAAACTGACCCTCAAAAGGCGGTTACACACGGACGTTGATGTCTGAAAACATGTACGCACATACATGAACGTGCAAACAAAAACATCAATGTGTATGCAAAATATCGTCGAGTTTTTGAATGTGCAATTTTGTATGCACACTCGGAACACCGTAGCAAGAATAGCAAGACTGCAGTTTTGTGCGAGCGTCTGTACAAAAGCGCCATGCACGTTGTTGTTTGCACGTTGATGTATGCACGTATATGTATTAAGACATCCACGTCCGTGTGTAACCGCCCAAAGACCTAAATTGAAGCAAACTGAAAAATTAGGAGGGGATAAGGACAAAAAATGAAATAAACAACTTACATTAAGACAACCTTTATTACTGAATGCATACTGGTCATTTGGGTTACAAGTACAGAGCATAAACAACAAGAATGTTGTTCAAAAGCACTTACATAACCTAACTTAAACCTAGGTGCCCATCTGCACTGTAGATTTCTTACTTTCAATGTATTTATTGGGAGACAATATTGGACTCACTGTATCATGTAAATATTTTTAAAATATTTAGAATTTGAACGTTACAGTGCAGTAGGGTAGTTTTTTTTTCCATAACTTTTTAAACTATTTTATTTTACAGATTTGAAAATATTTTTCTACAACATTCAATTGAGTTTACATTAAGAGTAAAGTGTATTATTAATTACTTTGAGGGGAGGGGTGTTTATTTTTCCGATTTGATTTTTCAATTGTTTTGTTAAATTTTAGCTACTTGATATCACCGTGACTTTTGGCCTGGTCCCTGAGTTTACCCTCCTAGTGACAAATTTTTTTAGTACCTGCCGACCATATATTCTTGTCAGAGATTCGTGTCATTTTTATTATTTTAATTTTCAGATCAGACTTTTAATCAAAAGTTTAGCGACAGACCCGTTTTAAGCCAGTTTCTACGTCTAAATTATTTCTATTTTAAAACAACAAAAAAAAAACATAATAACGGTATTGTATTGTTCGCGTCCCTAATAAAAATGTCTTTTATAAAAATCAAAAAAGACAGCCTATAAATCAGTTAAGGGAGGCGGCAAATTTTGCCAACCTCCTCAATGTCACTCTATAACAATAATTTCATTATGTCAATGTTAGTGATGTTTTTTTTTTAGATAGATAATGGTAGAAGATACATTTTTTTTTTTTAAATTGTCAGCACTATCACATATTTGAATCTGTCAATACAGGAAAGTTTATTATATTGCCTTATTCGATTTAAATCCGTTTATAATAAATCAACTTGTTTTAGTTTTAAACACAACCATATAAACGTAAAAATACATACACAGGCGAATCAAAAATTAACACATAAGGAACTTGAAACGATTTTTTTTTTTCGGAAGATAATGTATACACAATTCCAATAAAACAACAAAAATACAAACATATTATGACAAGAGAATTGGAATCAATCATTTTCAGTTTGGACATTTAATTAAATTGGACTAGATTTTTACAGGAGGGAACTTGTTTTTAGGCCATTTGTTGCAAGAATATGTCATCCTAACATCAAATATCGAAACAAGCTGGTCATGTGATGCTTTTCAATTGTTTGCTTACATTTTCGTGGCATTTGAGGTTTTTCGTATTCTTCGCACAGTGGAATTCTATATTTTAAAGGCGAGTTTTGGTTGAAAATGATATATATTTTTTTTTTTTTTTCATTGATTGTTGATGCTTGCTGGGGAAGCCCATGCTTGATACTCTATTTTCTACTCAATTGATTTTTTTTTGTGTGGGCTTAGTTTTTAGATTATAATAAATATTATTCCTTGTAGGATAAAGTTCTTACTAATATGTAATAAGTCTTACTTAAATTTGAAGTACATATACTCACAAATTTTGACTTCGAATGCGTTTTCTCAAAAAGTATATTATTATTTATTTTTTTTAAATTAATGAAAAAAACAATTAAAATACGCTATAATTATCGGTATATCACAAAAATTGTACTTATATCACAAAAGAAAGGAAATCACAAGTTTCGAGCCAACGAAAATGCAAACAAACAATTTTTTTCACGGATTTTTTGAACTAGACAGCAACGACTGGAGATGAATAAGTTCAGCGAATAATTTTTACTTTAATAAGTTTACTGCTCGTCAGCAAAGTCACTTAGGGATACAATTCCGATGTTTCTTTAGAGTCTGCAATCTGGTTTTATTTGTAACTATAATTTTCATGGTGTGAGATTAGTGAGAAAATTAAAAATAAGAAACATTGCAAGTGACGAGTGCAAAATAATGACTTTTTTTTCTCTAGCAATTATGGCAAGATTTTAGAGACAGGATGGGGCTACAATTGATATTGAACTGTCAAAACACAGTACTTGCAGATACACTCATTTGTGATAGAACAAATATTTCTTGGCCTCCTAGGCGTCCAGACTTGACCTCTCTCGACTTCGACTTCTTTTTGTAGAGAAGCCTCAGCAATAAATCAGCTCCAAGAGATGAAATAACTGGTAAGAGTGAGAAATTCCAATATTTTTCTGGTGAAATTTTGTTTAGTAATACCGGTAATACAGTTTACAATGAACAATAAATTCGAAGAATAATGTCTTCAATAGTAGTACATCCACTATATGTATGTATTTAACTGTGACGAAAGAGGTCCAAAAAGATTACAAAAAATGATAATTAGAAAACTAATTCCTAGCAGGCAAGCTATCAAAGGTGCTGGTCAACATATACCAAAGAACAGAACTAGAAAACCAGCGACAAAACGTGATGGCAGAAGCAATGGAGGAAAAATAAGAACGATAAAAATCTCGTAGAAAATGTGCATTTTACTTTGTGAACGCATTTGGACAGATAGAGAACGAAATGCAGTTCATGAAAAAAATATTTACCCAGAGACAATTAAATGAAATAACTTTTTGGAAATCCTTCAACAGTTTTTGGAATCATAAGGCGAAAACTCATCATCCACCTCTAAACGACTGGCGTTTTTTAGTAATTTCAATGGTAAATTATCCAAATATGTACCACGTTACATTCAAAGTTCGTCACTTGCAACTATTATTTCAATGCAAACAAAACCAGAATCCAGTCTCACTCATCTCGGATCTTAAATTAATCAAACAGGCAACAGTAACATCATAACTAAACGCAGAGGTCAGCATAACGCAAAAATTTGGCAAATATAAATTCAAAATAACAAAAAAAAAGAAACAATAAATAACACTTTTGTTCTTTACAGCAGCTAATTATTCTATCTATCTTGTTATACGAAGAGAAACTTGCAAAGGTTTTTCAATTTTATATCCACTAATTGTAATACTTAAATATGTAATAACACATTTTCTAGACTAATAATTAAGTAGTTTACATTACACATTAATATACTATGAAATTATAACAATTGTACAAGAATCATCAGCCAATATATACACATATTGCATTTTTTTTAAGTTATTATACACAGCAAGTAAGCGTATGCGACAGCAACGTGTCGCCATGAGCAAAAAGGTTCCTAAAGCAAAAATTTTGGCACGATTTAATTAACCAATTTGTCTTTTTATTTTTTTCAATTTGTGTTGATATGATCAAGAAAATCTCTTGTCTATAGCAAAAATATACTAATATGGGAGATTCCATTGACAAAAACTAGGCTGTTATTTATGTATGTTAGATAGAGCACCTTTTTTTTTTAGATGGACCTAGTGTTCTCTCGTTACTTTCATCTGTGCAAAAAGTCCTATGCTATCTGATCATCTTTAGACAAGAACAATTCACTGGGAGAATGGTTTTGCCTAAAACTTTATCTAATCACCTGGTATCCCTCTACAGTCTTTCTCGAGCCATTTGATGGCCTTTTAGTTTTAAACCCTAAAACCTTAAACACTACTTATTTCTATAAATTAACTAGACAGAGAGCACACTTTTTGTTTTGTCATTATTATTTTTCATAAGGCATTATTTTGATTCAACAACAAAAAATAAATAATTGAATTCTTGAATTGAAACAATTTGGAATTATTATTGACAATAATTAATAGACAAATATTATTTAATGCTTCAACAATAAAAATATATTAAAATTTAAAAGGAATGTAAAATTCAGTAGTGTTTTGACTTACATGTAAAGTTTATACTAATTTATATTAGAAGAATGATAATAAATTCTACACCTGAGATTGAGGGCCTAACATTCATTTTGCTACCCCACAACTACCCTATCGGAAAAAAATACCAGTGGTTTTTTTTTGCGTTAGTAAATCGGGCAAAAACTGTTTATATAATTATTATTAGCCTACACGATAAAACTCTTTTTTTTTTGATAATCTTAGAACATACGTTATCTTTTTACAAATGTTGGCAGTACCTTGCTAGCTTAAAAATCGTCGCTACAATTTGCGAGATCGTCAAAATTACATCTCGACAACACACTACGGGCTCGAGCAAGTACGGGATAGTCTAAAAATATTATTATTTAATTTGAAAAATATCAGTGGCCGTACCTGCTCGTGTCCCTTAATCAAATAAATCGTTCAAAATCACACACCGTTTACTTAGTTCTACATTTTTTTTTTTTGTCTATTATTTTCTTCAGCAAATTTTTATACAATAGTGGGGGCTGAACCGTAGCCGATAAAATATACAATCAATTCGCCTAAATATGTTTAAAAACCCTGTCTAAAAGTCAGGCCCAAATTTTTATTCAATTGCACATATTTATAGGCACTTGAGTTTTTGTGCTGGTTTTATTTTTTCAACCGCACAACGGCCTGGAAAACCGGCAAACCTTCCACCCGATCTGCCGCCTTTCCAGCTTAAATCTAACCTTATAAATAACAAACTGGTATTAAAATTTAAAATAATCAGCTTGTGGAATAATAAACGAAAGCGCTAAAAACTATGACTATCACAACCATGGTTGGAAGAATTTGGCGAAATTCGAAAAAACAAATTTAAACAAAAAAAAATCAGCATTTAATATGACACAAAGGGTCTTTGGTATGTAGTGACAAGAGTTTAAAAAGATTTTTCGTTTAAAGTGACGGCAAGAAATACCTGTGGGAAAAGAGAGAATACACTAGAAGTGAAAGGTGTTTGGTATTATGGAGACTTTTTGCAACAAATAATTCACAGGTAGGTATTAGTGAACTCAGTTTAAATATGGAAACCTCAAGCTGAGACTGATAAGCGTCCAAATTGTTATTTATACAAATTAGGTGTCTGTTTTTGCGTTTCAAAAACTCAGAAAGAACTTGCAAAGCATTTTCAAGCTGACAGTTTTGTGGTGGCTAGTAGTAAGTAGTAACACGAATTTTGTTGTTGTAGAAGTTGGAAAACTTGTCATAAGAAGGCTTTGAGAGCAATAATTTTAAGCTGTTTATGGTTTTTTTTTTTGAAGCTCTCAGCACAATTTCCACTATTGTAGAAGCTTGAAAACATGTCCAATAATACTGGAAAAAATCATAAGAGAATCTCATTGAGCTAACTCCACTTTGTCAGAAGTTGAAGAAGACATGCTTTATTCTCAATAGTCTAACCATTCACACAAAACTTGGTAACATTCGCAGTATTCTAGAAACGGAAAACTGAATTAAAAAGAACATTGGAGACTTTCTTGAGGTAATTATACTGCTTTAGGAGCTGAAAATTACATTCTGATTGTCATGAAAAACCCAAAAAAGCTTGAGAAGCATTTTAAAGCTGATAACAGTGTCTTGGTAGCCAATAACACAAATTTTCTGTTGTGGAAGTTGCAAAGTTTCCCCTTAACAGAACTTCAAGAGTGGTTTTTGTAGAAATAAGCAATTTGTGTGAACAGACCCTGTTTTTTATGCAGCTATTATAAGAAAAAGACAAAAATAAAAAAAATTGCACTAGTTCTGCACTAGATCTACCAATCGGAAACGCCATTAGTATTCTCTCCAGTGATGGTAACACTTAGGGAATTTTTCTATATGCAGGGAAAAACTTATGTTTTTTTTCTGGTGTAGGGAAGAGGGATAGAAATTTGAAAAATGTAGGGAAATTCAGGGATTAGTTAGTATCGAAAAAAATGATATTTTGTCAAATACAAATTCCGATTATCGATCTAACTGCTAACGAGAAAAGACTGTTAGGACTCTAGGACAAGAGCACTTAACCTAATACGACTGCTTATTAAGCTGAAAATATCTCTCATTTCAGCTGCAGTATAGGTAAATAAAAAACGAATTCCTAAAAATTATAATTTTGTTAAATTCGCCTTGTCTTCATTTAAAATCGAAGAAAAAACAAGAACCTGAATCGCAAACATTCCATCGAAGCCTGCAGGTGACGTCACCACTATAATCTGCTATGCTGCTAATACTGCGGTGACGTCACTCGCAAGCCCTGCCAACTGATCTGTGACTGGGAGACATCCCTACTTTATCTGTTTGCATTTACATTTAGGCCACCCACATTATTGCAAAATACTTCTTTCTTTTTTTAATCTCCTAACTTGAAACAAGAAAACGAATAACGTATAAAGATGAGCCAACCTAACCAGGGATTTTTTTCTCTTGGTTGATAGGGAAAATTAGGGAATTGTGTTTGTCTGAAAAGATCGCGAAAAAAATTTTACCATCACTGATTCTGTCAGTTGATTGAACCTTAGTTTCAAATGAAAACATTGTTTAACAATTTTCGCTGTATTGAAGTCCTACAAGACCCTGAAAGTTGACAGGTTATGGGCCCAGATAGCATGGTTCAACCCTCGTGAAGAGCTGCAGTTGAAAGTTTTAAGTGAATGGACAAAAATCGCCAAAAATCCTAAGAACATGACGACCCCAGCACACAGCATCAAACCGTTCGAGAGAACTGGCTTCTCAAACTGGAAGTTTGCAGTAATATTATTGCTGGAGCATCATGGTATGCTCGAATTTGTTGATCAAGAATCACCCACGCCCAGTTCAAGAAAAATGATTTAAAGGCTCGGAACTGTGGCCGACAGTGGTCTAGATATAATTAAATCAAAAACCACGGCAAAGTCAGTTTTCGATATTTTGAAAAGTACCTACATAAAATCAGGTGTTGCCAGTCAGGTCCAGTTACAGATAAAGTTACGAAGCATGCAATAAAATGGCACACAATCACTGAATAAGTACATTGTAGAGTTTGAATGTACCATTAGAATTAAAGAACGCTAAAGAAAAAATTGAACAAAGTGAAATAATTTCGCAGCTATTAGCTTCGATGCTAGAGAGTTATGAGAGTGTTGTGACAGCTCTTGATGTTCCTGTTTTGTCAAGTTAACAATAGTGTAACCTTGGAATTTGTTAAGAGCAAGTTATTGTGTGATGAAACAAACAACGCAGAAGAATGCAGAATTAAAACCCAGTTTCACAATTGGTGGTAATCTGCAGTAGTTATCAAACTCATAGTTGCGGGTTGATCACATTAATAATCTGAAGCTTGACCAATGGTTTTAGCTTACCCATATATTATGAAACAGACATATTGAAGGTTACCAGTGTCTTGTGGTTACCACTGTTTATAAAACTGGCCCTTAATGAGTCAAGTAGCTCAGCATTTTTGGGAATGGGAAAAACAAGAGGAAAACTTAAATCTGAAGTGCAGAAATGCAGGTATCCATACAAATATTATGGTTGCGGCAAAATAAGCCATAAATAAGCAGATTGTCCTGATAAAGGTCGAGCTAATGTGACTGAAAAAGATGAGAATGACATATGTTCCATCACGGTGAAATCAGGAAAAGGGTTTTCGACTCAGACAGGAAATCGTGATGTAGAATTGGTCGTAGATAGTGGTGCGACCATTGGCTGACTATAAGACTGTTGTTTTCTTTATCAGTGGAAAAAAACTATGCATGTATGTATTTGATTAACCAGCTTGACGTAAAGTGTGTACCATCGTCACCAAAAGTAACTGGACAGCATCATATTAGCTCTTGTATTATTATTATGATTTTAGATGTCAGGTATGAATAATTTTGGTTTGTGTAGGTTAACTTGGAATAGTCCAGGAGATTATTTGTTGTGGAAATACCTGAAGGACTGGAATGTGAAAATATGGACTCAAACTGTTGGTACGAGAAGTTGCATAACTTTCTACTAACCTTGAACTTTCAAAGATCAAAATCCGATCCGTGCTTATATTTTGACTCTGATATAATATTGATGGTGCGTGGTGCATGTTGATGAAGATGAAACTTGTCCTTTTCAAAAATAGGATCATGAAAAAATTCCAACTGAGAGATCTGTCACCAAAATCACAAGAAAAGTATATTGCAAAATTCTTGGGCTTTACAATTCAGAAAATAGAAACTTGTTTGTTTATAAATCAGAAAGAATTGATTCAGAAAACTTTGTTTAAATTCAATATGTCAGATTGCAAAGTTTCAAGTGTTCCTATACAGCAAAAATTGAATTTGAAAAGTTGTGGAGGACAAGAATCAAGCATTCCTTATTGTGAATTAATAGGTTGTTTTATGTATATCATGATAGGAACTAGACCAGACTTGTGATATATAGAGAATTTCATATTTTAGCCAATTACAAAACGGTTTTTCCTTAGAAAATTGGAAATATTTGAAACATATTTTGCGCTATTTAAAGAATACAGAAAATTCTAGTCTAAAATATGATAAATCACAAGAAAATAGTGAAAGTCTAGTTACTGTTTACGTAGATGCAAATTTTGCAAATTCTATTGTAGATAGAAAAAGCAACTCGGGTTTTGAAATAACGGTTTTTGATAATTTTGTTTATTGGGAATTGAAAAAACAGTGCAGAGGCAGAGTATGTTGCACCCTCTGATTGTTTAACGGAATGCATTTTTATTGCAAAATTATTGAATGAAATCTCAAATAGTGATGCTTTTCCTATTCAAATATTTGAACACAACCAGTCCTGCCTAAACATGGCAAATACCTTGGAAACTAAACATCACTCTATTCGTTCAACAATTTTCGCTGTATTTGCTTAATTGAAGTCCTGCAGAACGCTGAAAGTCGACAGTTTCAAGATTTTTCTAGCTTTTAGTGAGCAAATTTCCAAGAAGCCGCAAGTAATTGCAATCATTCTGATTTCCATTATTTGCTTATATAGAGCTGATGAAATTCCTCTGGAAAATGAGGATGGAAAATTTTCCAACGTCTATGTTTGAGATTGAAGTATTGATTGAGCAAAGCCCATTATCTCAACACATTTAAAATTTAATACATAATCAGGGCAGAGATCAACAATCACTAAATATGGAAAATGGGAATTTGCTATGGCAGACACACAACCAAGGACTACTGTAATTATTGGAATCAGCAATAGAAACCTGGCCTTAGGTGATCACCAAGCCTAATTCTGTATAAATAACATTTAAATTTAAAATTTGTAGCAAAAAGTCTGTGGCATTAAAATAAATTACAACTCTAGAAACAATAAAGCGTAAAATTCCTATTTAAATAATACTTATTTCAAGAATAATCGAAGTTATTGCACAAGTTCAGATTATGCAACTTCCAGGAGTTTTTTTTTTTTAAATATAATACTAATTTTACTGACTAAATGCTGCCACTAGATAAGTAACAATTTTTTTAAGTAAACACATACAAGCTAACCTTAAAGTTACCCATTAACCATTTTTATTTTTTTTTTGTATTGCAAGTTTCTCTTAGATAGATAGAATACTTATTTACATTTTGTAAGACTAGAGATCTAATTATATAATTATTATTATATAAAAACATCTCCTTGTTTTGTTTTAGAAGACTGCTTTGGGGGATTACAGATTTTGCTAAATGTTAAAAAAAAAACTATTGATTCTAATATAAGTTTTTTCTTTAAAGCTCATTTTAGTCAATGTAGATATTCATTCTCGGGGAAAAAACTGAGACCGCAACCAGGTCACGATTCTACTTTATTATTTTTACACGTTATTATAACAAAGTCAAGAGGCACATCGATTGGTATTATCAAGTGTTACATGATGAACATTGCGCGCGATTTAATTCTTCTAATAAAAGCGACAAAGCAACTATGCGTTTCTTTAAATTACTTCACACTGGATGTTGATCTTGGAAAAAAACTGTTTTTTAAAAATTCACATACACTTTAAAAAGTAAAAAATGTATTATTGCCGATTCATAAAAATAATTCTATTCTATATACTACGAAAGTCAGGGTTACAATTTTTTTGGCAGACTTCAAGTGACCTTGTCAAAGTTGCAATAAGACAGATCCGGGGGGAGAACAACAAGAGTTTAGGTGAATATTGATTGGACACCATTTAATTTTTTTGTATGTTTTGCGCTCTTCTGACACAACCGTTACTAATAATTAAGTTTGAAGTAGTTTGCTTCTATTATGATTTTGATATGAACATTAATATGTTTTTGCCATAACGTATTGAATAATACAACAATGCAAGTTTTCAACATATATGGAGGCTGTCAAAAACGAGCAAGGTAAAAGTGGATGACAATAAGCTGCATCATTCAATACCATTCCAATATAGCAATTGTAATCAACAACCAAAAAAATTAAATGCTGTCCTCATAATTATTATTATCGCAGTAAGTTTCAATGATATGAATTGAAAAAAATAAATCGAATTGCTCACACAACTTTGGCATATTTAAATATAGTTTTAAAATAATTGAACGCGCCTAAACAACGTGTGAGTAACGTAACAACCAATCAAAAAATTTTAATATTAATTAAGTCTATGTCTGCTTTGAAGAAATACTCAAAGGTCAGGTCGAGGAATAAGTCTTATAAACTACCGAACACCAAGAATTCACTACTACAAAATAGGGCAACGTTTTTATATTGCCATATTTTTACCCACTAATTACAAAGGTGTATTTTTTTATTATATAATATAATCTTTAATTAATATATAATATATAGTATTTAGTGGCAATGATTAAATATTTATATAATATATTATACTTGAAAACACAAGTGGCACTTTGATCACAAATACTGTAAACCTAAATCAAATACTAACGGGTTTATTTTTTTTTTAACATTTAATTAACTAACTTTTTCAGATTTTATTTAATTTTTTTCAAGTCAAAATTTTGTTTAGTTACGTATCGTGTATTTAGAAACGCTTTACAGCATTTTTTTTGTTTTAGTTTCGTTGCTGTTTGCTTATATTGCAAATAGTCAGGTAACGATGGTGGTAGAATTGCTCCTTCATTTGGAAATCGTTTTTTTAATATAAGTCGGTGTTTATTTTTTTAAGTTTCAGCCACGAGTACTTAGTTCAATCCGTGCACTACTATGATATTATTTTAAGCTGAGCTTAGTTTAATGTATGTGTTTTTTTTTTATATTTTATTATTATTTTTATAAATAAACAATATTACATCCTAAATATTCAAAGGTACACAAATATCAGACAATCGGAAACTAACTAAACGTTAAATTTATAATTTTACAATTCAAAAAATAATGCTTTTGCTAAATTATAAATTTACGTTTCCTGTGTGTTTTCTTTTTTAAATAATGCACGCTCGACAATATATACATACATAATTAGTAAGTAAATCACAATACCTCATTTGGCAGTTGTTTTATGGGTACTTTTATTAGGAGGTTCTTATAATGTTACAAAATTAGATATGCTGTATAAAAATGACAGAATGTTGCCAATGGATAAGGCACAAAATGTTCACTATTGAATATTTGAATATCATCTTTTCAAAATCGATCTTATGGTTTTTTTAAAAACTTCTTGAACGTTTTGGATCTTTTTTAAAATTCGAACAAAGTACGTCAGTGGTATCCAATGTAACTCCGTAATTATTGGTCGTGGCTTAAACTGAGTGGTCAGAATTATTCCTAGACAAATAGTTGTTATATTGTCAGCAATTTGTGACAATTTTTCAATGTCCTATCATGTTAAACAAGACTGGTTGATCGACCTGATTTGTGCAATGTGATAATATATGTATATGACAGAAAAATATTAGGTACAGTTCTGTTGATAAACTTGTGGGACAGCAATTTTCGACTGATATAACTTTTTGTTGATGTTATCCAGTCTTTCAAAACTGTCGTAACAAGTCGTGATGATTTTCATAAAATTTGATATTGCATCGATAATCTTATTCCTACTAAAATAGATGTTTGGCTATATTATATTTAAATGCTCGTTTATCAGATGCTAAATTTAATTCTGAATGTCTTACAAAATGTATTTTGAGATACGTTTTTACTTTGCATGTGTATGTTACATCAAAATTCATCTCATCCGAGTGTGTTAATATCTGACCATTTAAATGGCTTTTTTGTTTAAGTTTTGCTTTGCAAGTGTCACATTTAAAAGGATAAATATCCATCTATCTATCATACAGTCATGGCTCTGGTGAAAATCTTTCTGAAAATTCTCCAACACTCTATATAATGTTGAACACAAACTCAAGTTTGGCATTCAAAATCCTATGTCAAAATAGATGTTCGGATATATTATACTTAAATTCTCGTTTATCAGATGCTAAATTTAATTCTGAATGTATTACAAAATGTATTTAGAGATACACTTTTGCTTTGCATGTATGTTGCATTCAAAATTCATCTCATCCGAGTGTAATAATATCTGACCATTTAAATGGTTTTTTCGTTTAAATTTTGCTTTGCAAGTGTTACATTCAAAAGGATAAATATCCATCTATCTATCATATAGTCATAGTTCTGGTGAAAATCTTTCTGAAAATTCTCTCGTCACTCTATATAATGTTGAACACAAACTCAAGTTTGGCATTCAAAATCCTATGTCAAAATAGATGTTTGGATATATTATACTTAAATGCTTGTTTATCAGATACTAAATTCAATTTGAATGTCTTACAAAATGTTTCTTGAAATATGCTTTGCCTTTGCATATGTTGCATTCAAAATTCATCTATCCAAATGTGTTAATATTTAACTATTTAAATGGCTTTTTCGTTTAAGTTTTGCTTTGCAAGTGTTACATTCAAAAGGATAAATATCTATCTATCTAGCATACAGTCATAGTTTTAGTGAAAAATTTTCTGAAAATTCTCTTGTAACTCTATATAATATTGAGCACAAACTCAAGTTTGGCACTCAAAATCCTATGTCAAAATAGATGTTCGGATATATTATACTTTAATGCTCGTTTATCAGATGCTAAATTTAATTCTGAATGTCTTACAAAATGTTTCTTGAAATATGATTTAGCTTTGCATATGTTGCATTCTCAATTCATCTGATCTGAGTGTGTTAATATCTTACCATTTAAATGGCTTTTTCGTTTAAATTTTGCTTTGCAAGTGTTACATTCGAAAGGCTAAATATCCATCTATCTATCATACAGTCATAGTTCTGGTGAAAATCTTTCTGAAAATTATTCTGTCACTTTATATAATGTTGAGCATAAACTCAAGTTTGGTATTCAAAATTCTATGTCAAAATAGATGTTTGGATATATTATACTTAAATTCTTGTTTATCAGATGCTAAATTTAATTCTGAATGTCTTACAAAATGTTTCTTGAAATATGCTTTGGCTTTGCATATGTTGCATTCATAATTCATCCGATCTGAGTGTGTTAATATCTAACCATTTAAATGGCTTTTTCGTTTAAATTTTGCTTTGCAAGTGTTACATTCGAAAGGCTAAATATCCATCTATCTATCATACAGTCATAGTTCTGGTGAAAATCTTTTTGAAAATTCGCCTATCACTCTGTATATTGTATTGCACAAACTCAAGTTTGGCATTCAAAATCCTATGTCAAAATAGATGTTCGGATATATTATACTTAAATGCTCGTTAATCAAATGCTAAATTTATTTCTGAATGTCTTACAAAATGTTTCTTGAAATATGCTTTGGCTTTGCATATGTTGCATTCAAAATTCATCTGATCTGAGTGTGTTAATATCTAACCATTTAAATGGCTTTTTCGTTTAAATTTTGCTTTGCAAGTGTCACATTTAAAAGGATAAAAATATCCATCTATCTATTATACAGTCATAGTTCTGGAGAAAATCTTGCTAAAAATTCTCCCTTAACCATATATAATATTGTGCTTTTGAATGTTCAACACAAACTCTTATCTAAGTTTGTCAAAATGCTTATTCTCCACCCACTAAAGGGCTATTTCTTCTACAACTGGTAGAGACCGCTGTGTCCTGTTAGACGATACATGTAAATTTATTTTGCACATGCTGCGCTCTATAATCAGAAACTGTATACCAGCACTTCTGTCATCAAGCTGCTCCGTTAATCCTGGATTATGAATGGCTTCTAAGGTTTTTTAAAATTGTCACAAATGTAACAACAGATATGTGAAAGCCAAAATATCTGATGTTTAATGAATTGGGCATGACTTGGTACTGTCCAAATGCCAAAGTTTTTCCCTGATGTATTTCGAATAAGTTTTGTCTTCTGTTCCAAACATTGGCAGAAATTATACCAATGTTGTCTTACTTAATATCTGACTAGTTGAATGGCCTTTTCGTTTAAATTTTGGTTTGCAAGTATCACATTCAAAAGGATAAATATCCATCTAAAAATCATACAGCAATAGTTCTGGTAGAAATCTTTCACTCTACATATGAAATGCCAAGCAAAGATATTGTACTCTTGGGGTATTTTAATGTTCAACAAAAACTCTTATCTAAGTTTGGTAAAATACTTATTTTTCATCCACTAAAGGGTTTTACCTTTCATAACTGTTAGATACCGAAACACCCTGATAGACGATACATATAAATTCATTCCACACATGCTGCACCTCATAATTGTGAACAGTTTACCAGCACTTCTGTCATCAAGCTGCTTCATTAATCCTGGATTATGGATCGCTTTCAAGATTTGTAAGATTGTCACAAAATTATGTGGAAGCCAAAATATCTGATGTTCAATGAGGATGGTAGATGAATTGGGCATGACCCTGGTACTGTCCAGCTGCCAAAGTTTTTCTCTTATGTAATCCGAATAAGTTTTGCCTTCTATTCCACACGTTGTCCTACTTTTTATGGACAGAACTGCACATGATAAACTAAAGCCAACTTTCATTGGCGTTAAAAACTAAATTTCAATATCATTTCAAATTCTTTTCGGAACATGGATTGTTTGATGGGAATAATAAACCAGTTTAATCCCCAACCACACAATGGAAATATGTTTACACTGAAAAAAAAAACTCTTTATAAAGCACACATAATTATTGTAACAATTGCCTCGTTTCTCGAGATACAAGACCTTAGTACAACTGCCAAGCTGTTTTATTTTTTTTATAAATACATTATTATAAAATCACTGGTGAGGACACACAAAGTCTACGAGTTTTTCACCTAATAACTAATTTTTTTTCTCAAGCAACAAATTAGTACCGGATTTTTGGTGGATTTTTTTTTTGATAATAAATCACTCAAAATAATTTGTTTGTCAGACTGGAAGTTATACGAAAAGGCAGTTCTTTAGTAGTGAAGTAAGAAAGGCGACCGCGTTTTCGGGTACTCGCACAATATTACCGTGAATAACCAAAACGTGTTCGGTAAACAACCACTAAAAAGGCCGCGGTGTCTAAAATTGGGGTTCAATTGTCATAGCCATGTCAATTGCTTTGATTTTGTTTCTCTTCATATTTTTATATTATGAAAAAAGATAACAGTACCGATATTACACCTAGGCTTTTACTAATTATAGGTAATTCCCGTGTTTTAGGTTATAATAATATATATTTTCGATCTACAAAGATCAGCGCATATATATAGTGTATGATTCAGAGTTTTGTGGTTGTCCGATTATATAAGAACACACATTATAATCCCTACTACCAAGTTTCTTAAATACTAAGTAATATCGTAATACCTAAAAGACTAATACATATACTAAAATGTAAATTGGCAATAAGATACTAAATATTCTCTATTGGAACTTATGAGAAAGGACCTATTTTTTCCAGCGGGCCTAAATAAAGCGTCTTTTTTTAGATATTTAAAGCAGTGACAGCCTGCTGGAAAAAAGGACGGCCCATATTTTGTTTGCACCATTCATCAACAAAGTGTTCGTTTCGCTGGAGTAAATCCTCTTTCTCAAAAAATAAAATTCACTTCGAAATTTATTTATTAAAAATATTAATTTTTTTGATAAATTATTGTTCCATTATTTTTGCACGATATGACTGATGAATCGTTAAATCCACGAAACGAACACTTGGCCTTTAGTTTTTTTTTTGAAAGCTAATAAAGAACCCATAGCTCTTCAAAAAAAAATTGAAACGTTTTTTTTTTTTTGGATTTTTCAAGTTATTTTTAAAAATTAAAAAGCCACTTAAGAGTCACAGCACAGTTATGTACTTTTAAAAAAACTGTTAGTCATTCAACAAAAAATTTCATATCATTTGAATACTACCAAGTGAGAAGTTTCTTTTCTTGCATCTGAGAGTAACCCATTCTACTTTTATTTTAACTTGAAAATTCGATTTTCGAATTGGACGCAAAGGAAGAAACCTTCCCCTTAGCACGGTTTTTTAGTGTCATAGGTTAATTTAAACATTACAAAACCAGGTTTAAATGCATAATAATTTATGAAAGATTTATTGGCTTCAGTCTTTTTACCACTAGAGTTTGCTTGACTTGGTAACTTACGCAAATGGAGTGAATGAGATAGCATTTAAAGGACTAGAAAAAAAAAACACCTCACGTAGGGGCGTAGTGATTGACAAACAGCTGCCTATAAGTTGTTAAATTGTAGTTTCTAATGGCAACATCACAGAGAAAGCAGCATATTAACATACACAGTTTTTTTCAATTGAGCATTATGATCTTTTTTTTTTTAACTTAAACTAAATAATTTCCATCTGCAAAAATGGTATGTAATGTTCAAAATAACCACCCAGAAGATATCATATACCCATTCTTCCCATCGCTCATTCATAAGGTTAGCTATAAAGTTGAATCTCGATATTGTATGAACACCACAATAACACATGTTTGTTAATTAATTATTCTTATTGTGATTCCGAAAATAATCACAGTATACAGACTAAAAAATGTAACGATATTCAAAGTCTACGGCTAACACATCCATTAAACACAGAAATACATTTATTATTTATATGATTTAAAGGGGTGTAATAATTAACGATATTTTGGTTTTTTAATTTTTTTAAAGAATTTTTATTACTTAAATTTATTTAAGAATACTTTCATTTAGCGTGCAGTCTAAAAACTGATTGTGTGGTGTTTTTTTTTTTTATTTGGGGACTAATCCAACCCAAAAAAACATTTTTAGTCAACAGCTTACGTAAACATGTATAATTTGTAAGTGTAATTTGATATATCAGGAATAGGAGATCACAGGTTCTGCGGGGATAGGAGAGTTTTTTTTTTTTTTTAATGGAAAAAAAAACAGCTCCAAACGGTGACCACGATTCAACAACCACCCAAACAAAAATTTTGCTCGATTTTTAGATTAATGCAATAATGACTAGGCCTAGTGCAAAAAATAACAAGCAAAATTTCAATCAAACTCAACAAATAACTCCTAACAATTCTCAAATTCATAAACAGTGCAACCACTCTAGCATTTTCTACAAAAACACACAATAATTTCTATTTTAAAATGGCTAATTATAAAAAGCTCAGTCTTTAACTTATTTTTGCAGATTTGACGCGTAGGTGGGAATTATTTTATCATCCCAGCGCACTTGGTGCGCCAGAACAAATGTTGGACAATTTGAAAAATTATAGACTGACACCCAAGGCAGCATTAATTCCTAGAGTCCTTGCAACATTTGAATACAAATTATGAGAATGGTAGAGCATCTTTTTTCCTGGTCACCGACTCGCACTAAAGCATCACTCTCGTCACATATATACCCCTGCACACATTTTTTCCGTTTGCTCTACATCAACCGAAACGACGAAAATAGGATAGAGGATACATGTCACGAAAAGATACCTCACCGGGTTACTTAACATACTCAATCTTTATGTAGTGTCTTGATTAAATTATTTTTATATTATTTTCACAGAGCTTTAAGCATAAAAAGTGTTTGATGAATAAATTTTTTTAGCTTACTCAGAGAAAATCACACAAGTTGAACTGAGATAAGCTAAACTACCAAAGTCATTAGGTTTTTGCTTATAACTTAGTATACCAATAAGATGTTAGAATAATATAAAAAATTAACAAAAGTCTAAGACACCACACATAAGATTTTTAACTTAGGTACCATTAAATTATTAATTATGATTAAACAAATAACTTAAACAACGTGTTAATATTAAAATGTGTTAATATATAGGAAAAATATCTAAATATCAGAAAGTCTATACGCTAAAGAGCTCGAAATATATAAAATGTAATTATTATGAGTTTGGTCACGTAGTTATCTAATATATATTTCATTATATAATTATTATATATTATTAATAATAAACCTTGCTTAATTGGGACTAGTTTAGGTTACATTTCATATTTTCATATGCGTCACTTGGTGCGTTTGAAGTTGAGCTCGGTACCACTTAAATAAATGACGTTGAAACGCATCTCGATCGCAGTCGGATATTTTATTATTATTATTATTATTATTAAGTCACTAATAATCTGGTTTATTCTAATTCCATTGAATAATTTTTTTCATTAAAGCTAAATAGTACAATAATTAGTAATAACTGAAAACTCTTACCGAATTAATAAAATAAAATAGAGAAAAAAAAAAAATGGCAACTCGAAAAAAGAATAATAAATAATAATAAAAAAAAGAAAAATTAATTAATATTATCTCCCAATTTTTCGAACTTTACAACAACAAGGAAAATAGTTTACATTTGGTATATCCACCTCCCTAAATTTTACCATTATGAATTAAATTAAATATAAAAAAAAAACAATTATACCTACAACAACTCTATAAATCACTGCTCATTAAAATTATTAATAAAATTAAAAGTAGAAAAGACACATTTACAATAATTATTGATACATAACAAAAAAAGTTAAAATTATAATCGAAAAAAAAAAAAAAAAATGTTCAAATACCTTCAGTTAAAACTCGAAAAAAAAAAACAAAAAATAATTAGTATAAATGTGAATAAAATTTCTACTAATAAAATTTCAAATTGATTATTGTGTGAAAAATATCTTTCTTTTTGTTCTCAACTTGATTCAATTACACTTGCCTTTCGAATTCTGTCGATTTACATCGACTCTCCGCCCAATAGATCGTTGGGCAGAAAAGAGTTAAGGCTCGAGGGCGTGGCACGGGCGGGATCGCTGGAATCGAGAGGTGTGTTCGCCCATAGGCTGGACGGGTTGTTAGGCCATCCTGTACTCCAGGTATCACCGCCAGCTGGAAAAGAACGTTACGTTTTTTAAACTTATATGAGAAAATTTATTTCATTTACAGAACTGAATAGTAAGTGCCAAGTTCGACAGTGAGGAATCTGCAGTAAAGATTTACTTCGTGTCCGATAACTTTGAGTGTATAGATAAAAACATTTGAGACATTCGTGGCTTTATATGCAGTAGTTACGGATATTAAAAGCAAAACAGACATCAAAATATTCCCTGCTGCGGGAGGGTAGTTGAGTCTCTAAGTAAGCCATAAGCCATAGTCTGTTCATGATTAAGGGCTGGTATTATAAAATCCGGTTGACCGAAAGTTGAATTTCAACCAGCGGCTGAACTGCAATATCCGTATAAAATCATACGGAGTTCGACTGCTGGTTGTAACTCAACCTTCGGTCAACTCTATACTACCGGCCCTAAGAATCACAGGGCTCAGAGAGAGTTTGTACGTCGCAAACTTGATAAATTTGTGTTGAACACTATCAAGCCTATTGTTGTGGATCTGATAGTAAGGTGACCAAACTATGCATGAAAATTCAAGAATAGATCTGACTAGTGATGTGTCAAGAATTTTGATGGAAAGTATACTTGTAAAGCCCCTAGTAGCTGTCCTAATAAAACCCAACGTTATATTAGCCCTGCCAATTACCTCTTCAAAATGCTTAATGTACATTAACTTAGTATATAGATAGACACCAAGATCTTCTACTATACTATTGGTGAATGCGCTGGAACAACGCGCTATAAAATCGGTCGTGGAAATTCCTTAATCGTCGAAAAAACTATCGCAGTTTTTAAAAATTTTCACACTCATTTTAGTCATTTTTAAAAATAATAATAACAAAATAACACCCTTGTCACCTTTAAATCCAAACTAAGCACTGCAATAATGAACCACAAAAAATGCCCTTTAACAGCACAGTCGACAAAACGAATATATAAGCATGTCAGTAGAAATCTGTCATCTAAAACAACTAAATCAATGCTTGTAGATGAGCGACTGGGGATAAAATAACATCCAACCAACATATTGCCGAAATTTTTGCTGATAAATTTGCTAGTGTCTACACTCAGAAGCTGGACGATAAACGTCTGCCACAGTTGGATGAAACCACCAGAATTCATGAATCCATAAGTGAAATTCAAATCTCAACCCTGGAAGTAAAAGAAGCTATACAACGCCTAAAACCTGACTTAAGCCCAGGACCTGATAACCTTCTACTAATTATTCTTAAAAACTGTAATGACCATATTGCGCAGCCTATGGCAAATATTTTTAACAACTGCATAAAATCGGGGCTCTACCACCTGCTTCGAACAAAGGTATTGTAATTCCTATCAACTCACCAGAGTGGAAATAAATGCAGTGCCAACAACTACAGACCGATAAGCCTAACAAGTGCAAATGTCTGGAACGAGTTATTGTGAAACACCTAACCACCTTTCTAACCGAACATAACATAATTCCATCCACCCAACATGATTTTCTCAGTGGGAGGTCGGTTACAACAAACCTTCTTTTATGCTTAGATGATTGGACTAGCAATTTTGGCGAGGGAAATCCTATTGATATTATATATCTGGACTACGAAAAAGCACTCGACAATGTTCCCCACAGAAGACTTTTGGTTAAACTGGAGCACTATGGTTTAAGGGGCAGTTTACTCAGGCTCATTAGGTGTTTGCTAACCAACAGAGGCTACTGGGTCAGACTAATTGGAATTCTGACCCAGGAACATAGGGAAGTGAGCGGAGTGCCCCAGGGATCGTATTGGAACTACTTCTATTTCTGGTGTATATAAGTGATCCCCCAAATAAAATAACTTCCCCAGTATCATTTTTTGCTGATGATACAAAGCTATACACAAACCCATTGACAAACGCTAACGACCTACAGAAAGACCTTGAGGAGATTAAAAACTAGACAGATACCTGGAAGATGAAACTAAATGTGAAAAAATGTACTACGCTAAGTATAGGCCCAAAAAATCCACAAACTACAAATAGTAATTTAAATGGAGTTCCCCAACAGCATACAAATCAGCAAAAAGACCTTGGATTTATTCTAACGAGTGACTTTAAATGGAAACTCCACATAAATAAAATTGTCAAGAAGGCAAACTCCATAATATATATATTTAGAAAAGCATTCAAAAATCTTTCTGTTGAAATTGTTAAAAAACTATACACAACCTACATAAGGCCTAAACTTGAATTTGCACACTCAGTATGGAATTCTTACTTTGTTGGTGACATAGAATTGCTGGGAAGGGTGCAGCGTAGAGTAACCAAAATACCACCGGAATTAGGAGATCTGCCCTTTCCTGAAAGGTTAAAGATATTTGGTTTACCAACACTAAGAGAAAGACGATCCAGAGGAGATATAATTGAAACCTACAAAATTCTATACAGTAGCTACACCAGTGAAATGGATCTGTTTCGGAGAAGCCAATCGTCTAACCAACTCCGACGCCACACCAAAATACTGTATAAAGAAAAAAAACAACAGGCTGCCAAGAAAAGTGTACACATAGAATGCCCTGAGTGAGACAACTGTTAATAAACCAAATATAAACTTTTTCAAAGTGTCATTGGATAATGAAAATGGAAACCTAGCAGATCAATTGGTGCACTTTAACAAGTAGCAAAGGCTTATCTGAAATCTGTGACAACGTCTAAATTTGTGATCTTAACATTATTGCCTGTGATGAACATGTAAATTGATAGAATTGAACTGTGATAGAAACTGCAAAACAAATAAGTTTAAAAGTTAGCCTAAAGCTATACAGGGTGTCCCAGAATATGTGGGCAATCTCTCGGATTCAGGTAGAACACAAAAAAATAACACAGCTTCCTATAAAAAAAAATTCCTAAGGCCCCCCCTACGAAGTTACGTGCCCCTAAAGGACGCTTCTGAAAATCAGTTTTTTTGTTGATAACTTTCAAAATACTTCGTGTAATTTTTTTTCTCTCAATATGATGGATACTAGATATGACTCCTTAAAATGGACTCTCTCAAACGCACTTGACCAATCTAGTTTGCTAGGGACGGACTAGCTTTAACGCAATAATGACTCTGAGAAAATATTGGCAGAAAGGATTAATTTTCACTGTCGCGAAATAAGGGCTAATTGAAGCATTATTGAGAGTCGAACAATCTTTCACTAAAATAGGCATGGAATGCATAAGATTAGAAGGATCTCATGTTGAGTCGACATAAAAAATTATTTAATAAAAAACCATTAATACACAGAAACAGATTTTTCTCGAAACCAGCTCATTTTTTTGACATCGAATAAGAGTACCTTTTTTCTAGTTCAAGGTTGAAACTATCTAAAAATATTATTGCTATGCCTATATCATACAGGGTGTAAAAAAAATTAGCATTATTGTGTTAAATCTAGTCTGTCCCTGCAAACAAGATTGGCCAAGTGTGTTTGAAAAGGTCCATTTTAAGGGGTCTTATCTAGTATCTATCATATTAAAAAAAAAATACACAAAGTATTTTGAAAATTATCAACAAAAAACCTATTTTCAGAGGCGTCCTTTAGGGGCACGTAACTTCGTAGGGGGGGCCGTAGGGTTTTTTTTTTAATAGGAAATTGTCATGTTATTTTTTTGTGTTCTATCTGATTCCGAGAAATTGCCCACATATTCTGGGACACTCTGTATATAAAAAGACGTAATCAAGAATTACATCGGTTAATCAGCATGAGTTTCTACATTATTATCAAATGACAAATTTTTAAAGTTTGTGAAGAGAAACAAGTTTGTGTCAACAGATCTTCCGGCTGTAAAACCATGCTGTCGACTAATCACAAACTGAGATATTTTTTAAAGGATTTTGTCAACACACTGTTCAAATAATTTAGGCGTTGCAGACAAGATACTAGGATACTGATAGATCTGTAATTTGTTACATCATTCTTGCTGCCTGACTTCTGAATAGGACAAACATAAAAGAGCTTCCACATTTATGGAAGAATTCCAGAAGTTAGGGATTTATTGAAAATATTAACTAGAGGGAGATACAAAGTGATGGAACAAGATTTTAGTTAGGAATACCATCAGATCTAGTTGCGGTAAAACCTTCTCAATATGGGTTGGGTCTATGACAATGCTTGAAACATTCTCAAATCGATAAGCAAATGTTTTGGCGGTGGAATTTCTCTGAGGGTTATAAACAAAAATAAAAACCAAAAAGATTAGCTATGTCAACACCGTTGAACGCCTTTTATGTGGCCAGAAACATTTCCTTATAGGAATAATACCCTGATAACATTGGGAACGAATAAAGTTCCAAAAAAATTTCACATAGCCATAGGCACGGCTTTCAGTATCACTTATGTATAATTTGTCACACAGGTTTTTACAATCCCTCTGAAAAGTGTTAAATGCAGAGTAATCCACTTCACCATTTGACTGCTTGTATTGTTTTTGAACAAATTATTTTCGAAAAATTACGTTTTTTAGTTCGTAAGAAAACCACATAGGAAATTTTTAAAGTCATCCGATAAATAATTAGGAGGCTTCAGAAATTTAGCTTTATCAACAGGTATGGAAACCTCTAGACTCTAGAGCATTAGTGGACCACGTTATTTGAGAAAGATTATAGTCTTCTTGCAAAATTCTCCCATATACAAACCATTTAATTACAAAAAAAAAACAGAAAAGCTTGAGTTATAAAATGAAAAAGTTCTCAACACAGCTCATAGGCGACAGCAATACTGCATTAATCTAGGAGAACATGAGAAAAAAAACTAGTAAAGAAAACAAAAATAAATCAATCAGAAAAAAAATCCGCTAAAAGGGACCTATTTACAACTGGAACAGAATTGCCAATAAGACATTGCATGGTAAAAACAAAACAATCAATGATAATGATGAAAAACCAACTCCTCTATACCAGTCCCAAGTCTGGGGTCCCATTGCAGTTATTGCGACAAGGGAAAGGAGGAGGGATAGAAGAGTAACAACTTCTATTAAAAAACCAGAGTTCATTTGGCTCAAATGGTCCTCTGCCTGGGGCCACATCAAGACTCTTTCAAAACTGCTTGAACAACAGAGAAGTTCCATCCGAATGGGAACTGCCCTTATGTCAATCATTCATAAAAAAAAAGTAAGCAAAGAGGTGGGTGACAGGTACAGAGAAGAATCGCAGTAATGAGCACAATTAGCAGAATATACGGGAAAATTGAACAGGGAGATCCACAGCAAACCATCTATTCCGTATTACACAACTTAGCGAGAAAATGACGAAAATAAATAAGGAATAACATCGAATGGCGACTGGATATCGAAAGACGTTGTAGATCGTGATGACACCAATATGTATATAATGAAATACCAAAATGTTTATCAGTGTCTCTAGTCCTTTGATGTTTCGGAAAAGGGCTGGTTGTAGGACGTTGTATTTCTTACATATTGAAAAATTGAAAAAAGATATTATAAAATAAAGTTCTTACCTGGTTTAGACGAGGAGTTGCGCCAAGCTCCAGACGATCCACCCTGCTGATTGGCAATACTTTGCAATAGAGTGCTGGCATCCCAATCGGTAGGATTTTCTGCTAGAATTGTTGTGTTGCCGAGAACGCAATTGTTCAAAGCTGTTTGAGCCTGTAAAAAATTGAATTCCATAATATAGGTTTTATAATTAACTACATTGGAAAATTTTATTATTGTATATCAATCATTATTTTTTAAAGATTTGAATCAAACTTCTGTCATAAATTGGATCCGTGTTTATAATCATCTTGTATTAGAATAAAATGTGCTTCAGACATACACAGACACATACCTTAGTAGCTTCTTCGCGGCTTGAATATTTGGCAAGTGCAAAACCTTGGTGAAGGTGGAGGTGGAAACTTAACAATGGGCCATGTTGCATGCAAAGCGTTCTTAGAGTCGATCCGTCTATCTAAAATGATCACAAAAACGTAGTTTTTAAATTATTTTGATCGGCTAAAAATAATTTCGGAAACTATTTTTGAGATAGATTAAATAAATTTCAAAAAAAAAAACAGAGAAACATACATTATGAGAAAGCAGCAGCTTTTATGTGCAAAAAATGAATGTATGTATTGTATTTGGTTTGTTGGAATAGTTTCAATCTTTGTTTTTGTTTCAATCTGATTGGAACTAACGCAAAGATTTGACTTGTGTAGGCCATATTATTTGTAGTCAGTTCAAACCTCGCCAAAAAAACAGAATTTTTTTTTTTGGGAAAGTTGGAACTTATAAATTTTGTGAGCTGTAAGAAAACAATGATAAAATAAGTAAAACACATCAAATCAAAAACAACCACACAATGCCTCTTACCTGGGCAGTCAAATTTCTAAGTAGTAACCATTGAGACGCTCCGCCGCCGGTGCCGCCCCAATTTCCAGAGTTGCGCTGGCCAGCGTTGGAAGCGCCACCCCACGGAGCCGAGCCTCCGCTCAACTGACCGGTCCACCCGTTGGCCAGAGAATTACCACCGCCGCTTTTCGCGGACAAACCGGGCGGCGGACCGCGAGATTTCGGTGCACCCCACAATTCAGAGGTAACAGTAGTTGCTGGGTTCAAGTCCAAACCGCCTTTGGTCGCTGGTAGTTTGATCTGGGGACTGCTGAAAGAAGAGAATTTCCATTTGACAATGCAGAAGGAACAGTTATTTTTATATGCAGGTTTTTAAGACGCAAACTCATAATAAAAGTATCGATCACATGAATTTTATTCTGTAATTGGATCCGAAATTTTAATCATTGCATATACATAATGTCGTCACTTAGATTGTAAAACCATCTCTGATTTGGCTATTTTATTGGCCATGTACTTTTGTATCCACAAAACATTATGTCTGTGCTTGAGATTAAATAGGGTAAAATTATAATTAAGTATAGAGAATTCAAGGTAAAACAAAAATCCATATTTTTGTAAATTAAAATTAATGAAACATAAGCTATTTTAAATATTTATGCACGAGAATACTGTTTGCCCCCTCCATGTCTTCATGAAGCAGTAGTGAAGACACAATTGAAACGTACAACGCAGGAGCTAGTTAAAAGGTACAAAAAAATGTACGGAAAAACCGCATTCTTAATTCGCATTCTGCACAAACATAAAAAGACTCTCAAAATTTCTTAGCGATCAAAACTGTAATTTAGCAAGAATAAAGTGGCAGGGTACCCTGGAAACCTAAGTTGGAGCTGTGCACATTTTGGAAACAAGGTGGGTGTTAAAGAGAATGGTATATTTGAAGAAATTTGATGATGATTGGAAAATTTTTTTCACACACGCAGAACGAACTTTGACAATACAACAACACCTTCTTCATTGTTAATAATGAATAGGTAAAATTAATAAATCAATTAATATTTGATATTTTCTCTTCATTTTCTCAACATTCTCCCTCCCGTGTTGACTTTTATTTGTCAACACGATTCAATCTATATATTTTTCGTGCAGGTCGTTTGAATATTCCCTGTGGTGTCTTTACTTCTACAACTCGTGATATTTTATCTGGGCCAGCGAATGTTTTAACAATTATTCCCAAAGGCCAAACGCCCTGTAGAAAGTTATCGTCATTTATTATCACAACATCACCTTCTTCTAGGTTTTTATCATCTTTTTGCCATTTTATAGCACTAATTATAGTAGGTAAATATTCCTGTAACTATCTTTTCCTAAATACTGGGATACTCGTCATTGTTTTCTCAGCAAACAATCTCTTTCTTGAAACACTCCAGGTGTAACTATTTGACAATTTTTTCCCAATAAAATATCATTTAAAATTATAGCCAAATCATCATATACATTATCTAATACATGAATGAATAGTCGGCTATTTAAAATATATTCAACTTCGCAAAAGAAGGTCATTAATATTTCTTCTGATGGATGTCTGTCTTTCATAATTGCCATTGAAGCTCTTTTGAAACATCCCATCAGTCGTTCCCAGCATCCACCCATGTGTGGGGAAGACGGGGGATTGAACTTCTATTTAATGCCACAATTTGTTAGGGTGTCTTGCATTAAATTGATATCTAATTCTGCAAATGCTTCTTACAGTTCCCGACTAGCTCCTCACAAGTTTTTCCCGTTGTCAGACCATAACATTTTAACCTGTCCACGTCTTGCCAAAAATCTTCTAATCGCCATGATACAGAAACTTGTGTTTAGTGAATGTACAATTTGGACATGGACAGCTCTCCTAGTGAGGCATGTGAAGAGAACACCATAACGTTTGTCCGTGTTTCGTCCTATCTTAACTATTAAAGGACCAAAGTAGTCGAAACCAGTTGCTGTAAATGGCTTCTCATTTTGAAATAACCGTTCTTCTGGTAAAAGATCCATTCTTGGAGTAACTTGTGTGGCAATTTTTGGTTTACAATAAGGACATTCATTTAGTAACTTTTTCACTTGAGATCTAATGTGTGGTATCCAGAAGTCTGGTCTTACCTCATTTATAACAGTTTATATGCCATGCCATAATGAGCGTTTTTGATGTGGTAATGTAAGAACATTGTCTTAGTATAAGGGTGATTTCCATCTAAAATAACTGGACCATCTATTATAAATTCTATTCTTCTGTTTCTTGGAATTTCAGTATCAATTCTTATTATATTATCTGAGTCCAAAATTATTGAAAACTTATTTAAACGACCTTTTTTATTTAGAATTTTGTTGTGTGGATTTTTCAAATCGATTGAAAAACAATCTAGCTGTACTACTTTCCACTATTGTTGTTCTGCCCACTTTAAATATTCTGGAATCACATAACTTTTATATCCTTTGTGTTTTCGCAGTTTCAGGTAGCATCGTCGCATTCTTGCTGTTATTCGCAGTAATTTAATTCAGGTGTAAGTAGTTTTTATTTTAGGCAGATCAATGGAGAAGTTACATTCATTTTTAGTTTCCACAATTTGAATAATTTTTTCTATTGTTTCTTCATAATTTGGTATTAAAATTTTTGGCCAGTTAGTTTCTTGAGAATGTAGGAAATTTGGTCCTGTAAACCAGCAATCATTTGGAGTCAAAGTATTTTTTGAGCTACTCCTTGTGCAAACATCAGCAACATTGTCGTTAGTAGACACCCATCTCTATTGTTCCAAATTTGAACTTTCCAAAATTTTTACCAACTCTTACAGCAACGAATGTTTGGAGATTTTTCTCAGTTTGTAGCCATTGCAGAACAGGGCCGGTATTCTCGTTCCCGAAACGCTCACCGCTTTTAAGTCGCTCGACACTTTTAATGTAAATTTACATTAGAATTGCCAAGCGTTTTCGAGAACCAGAATACCGGCCCAGTTTTTGAATCAGACCAATAATATTTTCTTTGAAAGTCAAACTGTAGATGCTTTGCTACTTCCTGAGATAGACTTATTCCCAGTACTGCTGCCATTAGTTCTTGTTTTGGTATGATTACAGTCTTTAGTGGAGCCACTCGAGCTTCAGATGCAACAAGAACAAACCTAACTTGATTGTATTCCTTAAATGAAATTCTCAGGTTAACTGCTGCTACACTGGCATCGACAAATGTGTGCGATTCAGCAGTTTATGTTTCTGAAATTTTAATAGAATCGAGGGATTTCAATTTCCATAACTTCGTGCAATTCTTTCAGCCAGTTACACCATTTTAAATGAATATTTGGAGTTATAAAATCATCCCAACCTATTCCAGCTCGCCAAATCACTTCAAGAATTATTTGTGATTTAATAGTTATGGAAGAAATTAAACCAAGAGGATCATAGGTACTTCTCGTTTTGATGGAATCTTTGAATAATTCAAAATATTTTTTGAGATTTTATGAAATTTCAGTTTATAACAAAATGTATCATTTTCAGAATTCCAAATCATGCCAAGGATTTTTTCTTCTTGAGGATTGATATTTATTTCGGTATCTGGTTTTTTTGCCAACAAATCTTCTGGAATTCCTCTTAAAACGTGTTTAGACTTAGACACAAAATTTCTAATTTCGAACCCTCCTTGAAAGTGTACAGGGTGGCCCATTTTTGATGTTTTAATGGGCTATATCTAAAACCAGCAGAGATATCAAAAATCTGGGAGCACATTCTCGAGCTCTTTTTTTGGGAAAATAACGATGGCGAAGACAAATCACAGCTAACTTGATGCGTTTAGGAAATACAGGGCACTTTTGAAATTTTCTCCAATTTTAAAAGACCCTCTAATTTCCTTAATATTCAAGATATCCAAAAACGAAAAATACTTTCTAGAGGCAGTTTTTCAAGTAGAATCCAGTGGCATGACCAATTTCTTTCCAGATGTCACCGATTTTGGAATATTGACCAAAGTTGTGTTTTTTTAAATGGGACACCCATTATTTTTTCATTGAATAGCTCTTTGTGAGCTGATTTCAACGATATAAGGTTTCATACCTTTACCTTCAATAGTTTTGGAGAAAAAAAATAAATTCCGTTTTTTCCATAAGAAACAATGAGTAAGAAAGAGATAGTTGAACTATGAATTGGGTACAGATTTCCTTGATTTAATTTTTCAGTTCAGCAAATTTTTTTAAATTTGAACTATGAATCAGGGGTGATAAATAGGTAACACATAATTTATTTAATGACCTATCTCTCTCTAGCTCATTGTTTCTTATGGAAAAACTGAATTAATTTTTTTTTCCTCCAAAACTATAGAAGGTAAAGGTATAATTGAATATCATTGAAATCAGCTCACAAAAAGCAATTCAATAAAAAAATAATATACAGGGTGTCCTATTTAAAAAAACACAACTTTGGTCAATATTCCAAAATCGGAGGCATCTGGAGAAAAATTGGTCATGCCACTGGATTCTCCTTGAAAAACTGCCTATAGAAAGTATTTTTCGTTTTTGGATATATTAATTAATAAAGAAATTAGAAGGACTTTTAAAATTGTGCAAAATTTGAAAAGTGCACTGTATTTCCTAAACGCATCAAGTTAGCCGTGATTTATCTTCGCCATTGTTATTTTCTCAAAAAAAGAGCTCGAGAATGTGCTCCCAGATTTTTGATATCTCTGCTGGTTTTCGATATAGCCTTTTAAAACATCAAAAATGGGCCACCCTGTACAGGTTATTTGATTATATTTGGCACCATACCTACAGCCTTTACTATTTAAGATAGAAAGAAATTTTAAATACAAAACTTGATAGTTTTTTTCTATATTTTCTTTTGACAGTATCAGAAAAAGCAAAATCACATCGGAAAATGGAGAAACGTAGGCAACTTCAACTTTTTCAATGGAACACCCTGTATATTATGCGATAAAATTAAAGATCTTTTCTTCCTGATTCCTCGGTTGAAAGTTTCATTACTGTCGAGAGATTTTAGTTAGACCGAGGCACAGCCGAGGTCTAACTAAAATCTCTCGACAGTAATGAAACACTTTCCATCTCGGTATGTAATATACTATTAAAGATTCTCTTCTAGTTTGTATTTTTTTATCCAATAAGTAACTTCCCCATTGTGTAAGGAGGTGAGACAGTAGTTTGCTCACGAAATTTGTCAGGATCCTTCTGTCATCCACATAATAAGCCAATTCTTCTTCAAGCACTGTGGTTATATTTCTGTGTTGCTAAATACCAGAAATGCATCTAAATTTTCATGGTTTGGAACTTGGCGAACTTGAATCAGCAATTCTTCCGTTATCAACTTTGGCCTGCCATACTTTTTCTGTGAAATATCTAGAATTTCTGTTGGAGACTGGGCTGTTATTAGAAGTAATTCGACTGTTTTTTTCAGCTGTTTCAGTCAAACTGTTATTTAGACGCAAAACATTTTTAGCAGGTGAATATTTACAGGTTTCATTGGATAATTTGTACTGAGAGTAGAATATTGGCCATTTTAGGTACGAGGATCCATCGAAATTTGGAAGTTGCATGCCAATGGGCTCTTTCACTAATTTTTGAAATTGGCATATTTGGATAAAGCAACTAAAAACAGAATTTTCTGTATTTTTACTTTTGAAAAATTCAAAGTCCTTCTTGAGAAAACAGAAAACAAAGAAATACCTCCAAATAAAAAGCCAGAATTTATCTCTATGCTATGACGTCGCAGTTCGCAATTTGACCATGTTGCCACTAATTGTCAACATTGAAAATTTGTAATAGATTTAATTCTGAAATGTTGGCAAAATCTCATGAAAAGTAGTTAAATTAATTAGTTATAGATTCTAGATTTTATAACATTTTTGTTTTTTAATTTATGCTTAACACAATTTAATACAATTTTTTATGTTTAGTTTTATTTATTTATTTTACGCTGCACTACATTTAGTCACAACCGACAACAGCGCATTCCAACCTTTACGTATCTTTACAGAGGGCAAACACAGCCGAGCCGGTCCTCCTTGCAACAACATAAGCGAAATGAAGAATATTTATGTGACATCGGCAAATCGGCGCGTTTAAAATAAATTTGAATTTGGTCAGATTCAAGTGGCTGTGAAAAACTTATTGAACCTTGTAGAACATTTTTTTTTGGTATATATACCTAAAATAGTCCGTCCTTTGAGATTTTATACTTGAATTACGTATTTAAATTTTAGTGAAAGAGCCCATTGTTTGCCGAACAAGCATATTATTTATGAAGTATGTAAATTTTTCAATTTTTTTGTCAGTATTGGTGTCATAATCAACTCTTGCCGAATGAATTTGATTTATTGCATATTCTGGAGATACTTCATTTGCCCATTCTTGAACTCTTGCGCTGTCATACTCCTCATTTTGGTTATATTCGTCTTCTAAACTAACGCTTTTCGGGAATGCTGACTTTTTATTGGCTTCTAAGGCACCTTTATATCTGGTCAATAAATCTTCTTTTCTCCTCAATCTGGCTTGTTGAATATTTAACAATTTTTTAAAGTTTTTTGATTCATTTTCGTTGTTTTGAATTTCTTGTTCGGATGTATCATTTTGTCGCATTTGTTCAATTTTACTTTCTAAAATTACAATTACTTCTTCTCTAGAAAATACTGCTTCCTGAAGAATTTCGATTTAGTTATGAATTTGCAATCTCAGATTTAACTGTGTCATCGGATCTTGTTTTATTTGATTTTGGAAGGGATTTAAGAGTATTTGATGATCTCATGGAAGATGCGTTTTGTGAATTTCGATTTTTTTTTCCAAGATTTCAGGAAAAAAATGATTAATTCTTGTGTGAGCATTATTGTGGTTATTGGTTCTGAACATTTCAAATTAAGTATGATCTTGTAAGGGTGGGCCTCTAGAAAAGTTTCCATATAAAATATAATAAAGATTTTTTAGGGTGCACTTATATCTTTAATGGCTGATATTTGCGATTCCAAATTCTTTATATCTTTTCCAAAATTTGACTCATGTCGGATGTTGGTGAAATTTCTACTATATTTTTTGATTTTTTGAGCTATAGATCCCTAGAGCTGTATTCGGTTACTTCGAAGGACCACTTTTATAAAGATAATGGTATATTTGAAGAAATTTGATGATGATTGGAGAGATTTTTTGACACACGCAGAACTAATAGCGTTGTCCATTTGTCGAACCAGTGCAAAAAAATTTTATCCTCAACCCTACATGTTACATGCTTTTAGAAAAAGATGCGCATACACTCAGTGCGCACTGATTGACAAATGGAAATCGCCATAACTTTGACAATACAACAACACCTTTTTTATTGTTAAAAAAACGGGTTAACAATGAATAGGTAAAATTAATAAATTAATAAATATTTTATATTTTCTCTTCATTTTCTTAACAGTAGGCAAACAGTTTCGATTTTTGATTCATATTTTTGCAATACATAAAATCCGCGAAACAGCTTCAAATTGTTTTTTTTTTTAATTTTTAACAGTCTGCAAAATTGGCTCTTATTTTCATATATGTACGTCATATACACTTTGATAATTAACAAATTCAAGTATTATATAATAGTTCTTACCTTGTGAAAGCACTAGAGGTAGAAGGTGGATTGAAAGACCATGTGGACGAGTTGAGAGATTGCATAGGATCGGTGGCCGGTGGGCTTTTGCTGGCATTGATTCCAAACAATTCGTTATCTTTGACGTTGATCGTGGCAATCGACAATGGGGAACGTACCACAGAGCCGGGCGTAATACTTGGGTCGTCTTCAATAGACTTCATTTGATTACCCTAAACGCAAATCAAATAAACACTCATTTAGTAGGGTCGTCTAGTAACCTAAGCCTGGGATAAATACCTTGGAAAAATCATAAATAAAAGTTGAATCAATTTTTTTCGTCATAAATTGGATCCGTGTTTATAATCATTTAAAATTAAATTTCATGTCTATAACTACAAGAGTAGAGAATACAATTTTACCTTCCATGGTTTTCCAGGTTCAAATTCAGGTACTAAATCAGTCAGGGAATTTTGAGCGGCCGTTGCCCACTGTGCGTCTTTAACATCGTTTGATGAGTCGCCACTATTCGAATCAGGCCAACCTCCAGTGTCTGCTGATCGGCCACTTGACCAGGGTCTGAAATTATGGTAGGGCCTTTAATGGCATTTTTATTAATTAAATGTCATACAACATATTTCAAGTTAAAATGGTATTATTGAATAAATACGAATATCCAAAAAAAAAGGAATTCTCACCCGTCAGGTTGAGTCAATCCCAAAGGAGCCATATTAGGAGAGGTAGCTACTGGCTTAGATGAGGAACCTGGAGCTCGGCTAAATTCACTATTTTCATCTTTGTCTTTATTGATCCACTGGTTAAGTCTAGATTGTTGCTGATTCTAGAAATATAACATTTCAAGTTTCCAAAAGGTGAAAAGTTTTCCAAGTTACTTACTGGATCTTTATTTAAGGCCAGATCAGCGAAATTGCCTTGTAAAGCGTTAATATCTGGCATAGGATTTGATTTAAAATCATAACCCATACCCTGTTGTTGCTGCTGCTGTTGTTTAACATAGTGAGCTTGTTGAGCTTGGATTTGGTTCTAAATAGTAAAAATATATGTTTGATTCAAATGTATTAAAAAAAAAAAAAAAAAAAAAAACAACATGAAAATATAAACATTCCTTGCAAATGTTTTCCATAATACTCCCATGTAGTTAATTTTGTTATTTAGATCTATTGATTATTAATTTTACCTGAATATTCATAATTTGTTGCTTAGTCTTTGTGATGAGAACAGAATACTGCATAATAGTGGGATTAGTCACATTTCCTTTTGAGGTTTGGACAGCGATTTGATGTTGGTTATTCAATTGCTGCAGCGTTTTAATTTGCTGTAAAAGCTGATTCAATAGGACTAGAGTTTGCGGGGCAAGAGGCTGATTCAGGATCTGATGATTAAGGTACCCAGCCGTTACGGCCATTTGAATTTGTTGCACCAACATACGCAATTGTTGAGTAGAGGGTTGTCCCTGGGGCTGCATCGGACGACCTCCCGAAGAACCAACAAAACCTTGACCGCCACCCACGCCAACTTGTTGAGTTAGCATTTTCTGGACCACAGCTGGGGAAATGTTGTTGATTAAGGAGTTATTGGCTTGGCCTGCGCCTCCTCCCATGCTGTTCAATAAACCGCCAGGACCTGCGTTTGGAGGAAACCCGCCTGCAGATAAGGGATTGCCTGCAGGGCCGCCAATACCTGGGTAGCCGCCCCTGGGTACGTTACCGAATTGATTGTGATCGAAATGATCATCGTGGCGGCCTGCTCCAGCTCCCCAGCCATCATTTCCACGACTACGTATAGGACTGAGGTATTCTAGAGCATCTTCTGGATTCATATCACGTGCACGGAGAGCAGTTTCCACATCTTCTTTCTGTAAATCCATTTATTTCTACTGTATTACAGATAATTTTCATTACACAAAAACAAATTAATTTTTTGGAAACGCAACATTCTGATATATTTTGTGAATTCCTACCTTGTAACCCATATCAACCAACATTCTAAACTGTTTCGAGTTCCACACATGTTCCTTACTGAGCTGTGGTTTATTTGGTGGCTTGTGCCAGTCAAGATCTGAAGAATCCCACAGTCCGCCTGGACCTTTTTGTTGTTGCTTCCAAGGGGCGTTAGAGTCTTCGCCGCCCCAACCGCCGGCTGGACCACCACCGACGTCATCCCAACCGTTACGATTGTTTCCGCTCCATACAGCTTCTGGCTTACGACCAGGAGCCATTCCAGGTGGCCCGCCTCGGCCACCGCCATTACCGCCCATAGCACCAGCGCCTGTGGGAATACCGTTCCAATGAGAACCTATATGTGGATAAGCAATATTTATTAATACATATAAGAAATAATAATTTTCAAAGCCCGCTGCAAAATAGAAATGGAACCCAAAATTGATCAATAATTATTGTGAATGATGAGTGTGATTCAAAAGCTTTAGTTATATGTAAATCGGTAACATACCCTGCTGAGGATTGCCCCATAGAGAAGTGCCATCGTCATAATTGGCCATGCTGCGTCTTTGACTTGGAGGAGATGGTTCTTCCCATCCTGCGGTGCTACCAGGGCCCACGGGCATTTTATTCTGGTGATGCATTGCTCCAGGGCCTGCGTGAGGACCAGTTTGTCCCCAGAATTCTGCACCAGCTCCATTCAGTCTTCCTGTTATTCCTTGAAAGAAAAAAATATTATTATTATATTATTTGTCCAATAGCAGGTGATAGAGGTAGAGATTGATGAGGCTATTGCTAAATTCCATTATTATAGAATTTCATGGGTTATGTTGAGTTTATGTTCTCACAGATTGTTTATTTTTGGTTTTCAATAAATTTTATAAAAACAAAACAGCACGTACAAATATTAATTATTGGTGAACTGTCTGATTGCTGGGGTGCTAATTGCATACGTTCAATAAATACAGGATGTTTGAAGTTGATTTGAAAAAAAACGCTCAGACACGTCAATTTTGTATTCAAGGGGGAAGCTTTTTGACCCCATCGATATTACGCTAGGATGCGACCTCTGGGTGGGGTGACTTTCACACCTCTTTCTTAGATAGGGAAGATGGGTCGAGTGGTCCCTTGTTTTAAAGGTATTTCAATTCTCGTTACAACTGTGTACTTTTTTTGAAAATCGAATGATTAGTTCTCAAGACATTCACTGCCAAAGTTGCCATGGGCTAAATAGGAAACAATCTTCTGGCCCTGTTATTCTCAAATAATCAACACTTTCCTGACTTTTCCTCTCAGACACGTCAATTTTCTTTTTTTGTGTGCTTCTAAAAAAGTTAAAATTGACGTGTCCAAAAGGAAAGTCAGGAAAGTGTTAAGTTGAGAATAACAGGGCCAGAAGATTGTTTCTTGTTTAGCCTATGGCAACGTCGTGTGTGCAATATCTTGAGAAAATTCGAGTTTCAAAAAAAGTACACAGTTGTGACGAGAATCAAAATACCTTTGAAACAAGGTACCACTCAACCCATCCTCCCTATCTAAAAAAGAGGGGTGAAAGTCACCCCACCCAAGGAGTGCACCCTAGCGAAATACCGATGGGGTCAAAAAGCTTCCCCCTTGAATACAAAATTGACGTATCCGAGCGTTTTTTTTAAATCGACCTTGAAATACCCCAAAACGCCTCTGTTTCGATGTTCGTGAAACACTCTGTATATAATTCTCTAGCAGAGTCATAGTCAGTGTTGTGTTATTTTCAAGAGCAAAAAAAAGAGAGGTTAACCATGACTGTCTGTATCAAACTGTACAAAGTGTAACCTGACGGTTAAAACGGAGGAAAAGCAGATCTTTTGTCATTGCTGCAGAGTTGGGTGCACGGAACATTCTGCCTCGGAAATTAAAGCTGTAATGCTTCAGAAGAGGACACTTATGTTTCTCTGTTCGGAGTGTCGAGATGCATTTAAGTCAGCGCCCATGGTTATAAGGAGGGTTAAAGAGCTACAAAATGAGCTGAACACTCTCAAAATTGAAATACCGAATCTTAAATCCAAACCGGCATCTAATATTGAACAGATTTTGTTAAAAGCACGTGAGCGCGCAACGAGAGCGAATAATTTAATTGTATTTGGTGCCCCAGAATCTGCTGAGAACAATCTTCAAAGCAGAAATGAGCATGACATGAAATTAACAAACGAAGTCTTCACTGTAGGTACTTGGCTTCCAGAGTGAAATAGCTGCTATCAGCAAAGTCATCCGTGTGGGTCAGAGCAGATGGGAAACCTAGACCTTTGAAGATAATATACAATAACACTGATATCAAGAGGCCATCCGATCTAAACAGAAATTGGAAACCTGTGCTTACAAAATAGCATATGATTGTACAAAAATGCAACAAGCTGCCTACAAAGAAGTTCTAGAAGAACTTTTATAAAGAAAATGTGGAGGGGAAGACCTAGTTATTAGATATATGGAAGGCATGCCAGTGGTAGTTACTAAAAAGGCAAACGATCGGGAAAACTAACTACTTCCCCATTAATGGTATACTACCAAAATGTCAGTAGCCTTCATATAAAGTTTGAGCATCTGAAATTAGCAGTAAGTAGTTCCTCATATTATAGTACTAGTCGAAAGTAATTTATGTGATAACTTCATGGACAGTGAGCTAGAGTGCTCTGATATTAATTTATTCCGCCTGGATCGGTCTCATCTTACTAGTCAAAAAACTTTTTTGTAATTCTGGATTATACATACCACCCAACAGGCCGGATGTTTACTACAATATGCACTGTGAGGCAGTGGAGCATGTGCTGGTTACTTACAAATCTCAAAAAATTTACATTTTTGGGGCGCATTGATGAGTTTGGATTGAGAGTTGACTATCCAGCTGTATTCGGGGCTATTCAGGTAACTCAGTCTTTTAGTTTCTTACAATTATTTCAGTGGATAAATATTCCTAATCATAGAAATATGTTCCCAGATTTAATGTTTTCTAATAATAGCAAGGTAGTAGTTAGTTTAGGTAGGCATACTATTTTTGATAATAGTTTTCATTACCTACCAATGCTGTTTAAATACATATATAAGAAAAAGTCAGGAATCTACATGATTTCTACTATGATTTTCGTAATGCTGATTTTTTGGGATTAAACAACTTTCTAGCTGGTATAAATTGGGAGCAATGCCTTTCACAGAATGACATTAATTTAGCTCTGGATTCTTTTTATGAAATTCTCGAGATTGGTCTTTTGTGAAAAAATATCACACAGGCACATTTCCAAAATGGTTTTCACAGCAGCTTCGAAATTTTACATTTCAAAAAAAAACTACACATAAAGCTTATAATAATTCAAAATCTCTCTTTGATTATGAGAGGTTTTCAGTGTTGCGATCGGAGTGCAAGAGGATTTGAAAAATATGTTGGACTGAATACTTTGATAATGTTAATAGTGAATTTAAAGCTAATCCAAAATATTTCTGGACATACAAAAGGAACTTTAAAACTTCGCACACCCTTCCTCAATCAATGTTTTCTAATGGTCAATAGGGAACTTGCAAGTGAACTAAAATTTTCCAAATTTGTTTTGAATTAATAGTTTATACTGCACAATATTTATATGACCAGTTTTTATTCAACTCATACCATCTTTGTTTCACAAAAAATAATACTAAATTTGAAATAAAAAATTTCCCGCCAAAACAATGCTTCCATGATGGCCACCTTTTTTGACGTCACGATTCTGTAAACAAACCTGGCAATAGGAAACTTACAAGTAAAAAAAAATTACAAAAGCAGGCCTTTTACAATATTCTTCATCCATATAAACTATAACCTCTTAAAACAACAATTGGCAATACAGGATTGGTCAGCAGAAATCATGGGAACGAAAGACCCTGAAAAAGCCACAAATTCTTTTTTAAACATATTCAAGAAATCCATGCAAAATTCCACTTCAAAACGCCCTATAATCCCAAATCAAAGAAAAATTAAAGAATGGATTACAACCGGTCTGATTACATCCATAAAACATAGAGATAAATTGAAGAATAAACTAAAAAAAAAAATTTACCGAGGAACAAAACACGATTTATAAAATATACAGAAACAAACTAAACAACTTAATTAAGAAACAAAAATTTCATTTTTATAAGAATCAAATTTAAATTAATAAAAACAATATTAAAAATATATATAAGATCATAGCGGATGCAACAAACGAAAAAAGGAAAGTGAAGTCTTCCAATCATATGTTTGTTGATGAAAATAATCACAGCTTTTCAAACACACTCGAAATGGCAAATTTTTGCAATACATATTTCAATAACATTGGTGTGGAAATGGAAAAAAAAATAAACAACCCGCAATACCCTACCACTATAAAAGAAAGCCTTCAAACCTCTTTATATTTAAGACCAGTTACAGAAAGAGAACTTATAAAACAAATATCTACACTAAAAAACGATAGTGCTCCAGGAAAGGATGGAATTTCCACAAGGATTATTAAACATGTACATATGGAAATAATCAAGCCCCTAGTGTACATTATTAATTTAATTTTTGAAACAAGTATTATACCTAGTCATTTTAAGGAATCAGTGATTACCCCAGTCTACAAAAATGGAGAAAAAAATAAAATTCAAAATTATCGCCCCATTAGTTTGATAAATAATTTTGCAAAACTTTTCGAAAAGTGCTTAAAAGACAGACTTGTAACATTTTTTAATTGCAATAATGTACTGTCCCCAAATCAGTATGGTTTTTTGGAGGGACTAAGTACGGCAGATGCTATGTATTCCCTGGTCTCAGAAATAACAAGCAATCTCGATGAGAGTAAAAAGGTCATAGCGGTGTTCATGGACCTTGCGAAGGCGTTTGATACCGTGCCTCATCAAAAACTCCTTGATGTTTTATCACATTATGGTGTTCGAGGCATGGTATTGGAACTGTTTAAAAACTATCTCTCCGAAAGAGATCAATTTCTGAAGCTAAATCAAACACTGAGTCACCCCTTGAAAATAAAAATTGGTATCCCACAAGGCACCATCTTAGGACCCATTCTTTTCATTACCTACATCAATGACTTACTAAAATTGAACATAAATGGTAAGTTAATATCCTATGCTGACGATACGGTTATTATCTTTACTGGTAAGACATGGGAGGAGACAAAAGAGAGAGTGTCGAGGGGTTTTGGCATCGTCAAAAAGTGGCTTGACTCATTCAAATTGTCGCTCAATTTATCCAAAACTAATTACATAGCCTTTTCTGTGACAGGTGCAAATAGACCTAATTTTATTGAAATTCAGACAAGCAAGGAGAAGAACAGTCATATATCAGCAGTGAAGAAAGCTAAATATTTAGGTATAGTTGTTGATCAGCATTTAAAATGGGTAGACCATATATCTTACCTAACAAAGAAATGTCGCTTCTTGATTCATAAATTTTATATTCTAAGAGAATTTCTCAGTACTAGAATGATCATATTGGTGTACAAATCTCTGGTAGAATCATTGTTGCGATATGGCCTTATTGTGTGGGGGGGAACATATAAAAGTAACTTGCAACCTCTAAATGTAATACAAAATTCCATCTTAAAAATAATGTTCAGAAAAGAAAGGCGCTACTCAACTAAATCACTATATGACAACAACATTTGCAACATAAACTGCTTATACATACACTCCATTTGTACATATATACATAGAAAAGAAACCCTAAAAAAATTCGTACACCATCATCATCAAACCAGAGCTAATGTTAATAGACACCTAATAATACCTCAAAATAGAAAAACAATAAATTTAAAATTTGCTAATTACTTAGCGCCAAAATTTTATAATATGATACCAAAGAAAATCAAAGAAATAGGTAGGATAAAAATGTTTAGTGAGAAGAGCAAAGTATTTATTGTAGATAATTATGAATCATTTTCTAAACTTATGTCATAGGATAAAAAAAAAAATAGGATTAAGTTGCCATAAACAAATAATATTGTACTTTAACAAACCCATACAAAATATAATGTCCTCTAAGATAAACCTTTATTGTAAGAACAGGTTGTGTTTATTACTATATTATAAATAGTTAAGAATTTACTTGGTGCATACAGAGGTATTAAACCTCTAGGTGCCAACAAAATAATTTTTAAATACAAAATACATGTATTGTGAAAGAAAAAAAAATGTATTGTAAAAAATATTTAAACCTGAATAAAGATTATTATTATTATTATTATTATTATTATTATTATTGCGACAATTTTCACAAAAAGCAAACTTTAACACACTTGAATAACACAAAAATAGCACTGCGCGTCAGCAGAAGTTTTTTGCGTTTGTTGTTCACAAAATCTTGATGTCACGAGCGCTGTCATATTGAAATTTCGTGTTTTCGCGCCAAACATTTTATTTGAATTTCAATAAATTTTTTTTCGTACATCGTGTAAATTAAAATGGAAAAAAAGAAAACTATGTAATATTTGATCACTAGAAGTATCTAAAAAAAAATTATTTGAGAAATAGAGATCCTTAGATTCTTGTTTCTATCTGGACAAATGGAAACACAGCTTTGTGGTACCTTGTATAAGAGTAGTGGAATAAACAATGTCACCAACTATAGAACTGTGTGTATTCAGTCATTCATAGCAAAGCTATTTGACAAATGGGAAATCAGCTTAAATGGCTAAGTCAGGGTCTGATAAACGAGAATCACCATGGTTTTTGTTCTGGTGGGTCTACCACGACTAACTTGCTTCTTTATCAAAATAAAATAATCTCTGCTCCAAAAAATTTCAATCAGGTAGATGCAATTTATACAGATTTTTCTTAAGCTTTTGATCGGATGGGTAGACCATAAGACATTCTACAAAAAGCTTTTTAATATGGGTTCTGGTCAGGCCAGGTCAGTGAAGTGGGCCAGTAGTTTTCTGTCTGGGGCCCGATTCTCGTCTCAGGGAGAGGAGAGCTCCCCGAGAGAACAAATTTTTCGTCTTTATCATTTCGGTTCACTTTCCGATTACGTTGACAAGATCAAAAAATTCGTTCTCTCTCTCCCTGCGACGAGAATCGGGCCTCTGGTCACCTGCAGATGGTCAAGATAAAATCTGTTTTTTTTTTAAAGATAATTCCCCAAGTCAGAAATTTAGTAACTATGTTGGCAACACAAGCCTTTTCTACATGAAAAATTTGAAAGTATTGACAATTTTACATTGTATTGCCAACCTAATGTCAGATTGACTTTTATCTTTAAAAAAAAAACGCACTTTAGGTTTTTTTAAATCAGGTACTATAAGTGTCAGGTGTCACCTCAGGATTGCGTTCGAAAAAGGGTTAAAAATTACCCAAGGGTAAGAGTGGGTATATGGTCATGTGGTCAGAAGAGTAAATTTTATCTGGTGTGTTTCGAACGCACTGGTGTATAATTATAACCTAACATATAAACATAACATTTAGGCCCAGTGTTCTGTGCATTTCATTTATCTGTTTGTGCCTATTATCAACAACGACTTCCGAGAAACGGAAAATGGAATAAATAAATCTGACTAATCTGAAAGTAGTAGATTTTAATAATGGAAAAACTGACAAGAATGGAGTTCCTCAAGGGAGCAGTGTTCTCCTTTGATTTTTGATATACAGGATATTTGAGTGTTTTGTGAACAGTGACGAGCTGGCATTTGCAGATGATTTTGACGCACATTGAATCATAAGTTGCATAGATGATCAACGGCTTTTGCAGGATGATCTTGACGCTGACTAACTGGTGCATAGATAACAAGCTTTATCTGAATAAAAATTGACACTTCCTATACATTAAATAGCGAAACTCTAACTTATCTCCCAAAGGTTTAAGATTTGGGGGATTATTCGATTAAAGTTTGAGTTTTGTGGAACACATTCACAATGTCACAGTAAGTTCTTCTAACCTGTTGGGATTTGTTTTAAGACACTGCAATAACTTTTCAGTAGAAAATACTGGGAATGTTTATTTTCCATAAGTGCGTTCGAAGCTGGAAAATGCTTCAGTAGTGTGGTCACCATATCATGCAGTTCACAAAGCAACTATTGAACAAATTCAGCACAAATTTTTCAGACATTGTGCATTCAAATTAGGAATTGAAATTGTTGATCATGATTATGCTGCCATTGAAAATCAGCTGAAGTTGAAAACTCTTTCAAACTGGCGAAACTCTGCTGGAATGATTCTTGTTTGCAAATTGGTCAATGGTATAATCGATTGTGCTGATCTCCTATTATGCATAAATATAAACACACCGACCGCTGACTAGAAATACAAGAGGCGATTTCGTGTCTTTCAACGTTCCTTGTCATCGTACTATGGTCTAAACTCTCCAATAGATAGAATTTGTGATGGAACTGAAGTGCTATATTGTTTAAAGATTTAATTCATCATAACAATCTTAGAGTCATAACCATTTTTGTTAGATATTAAAACTGTTATTGGGTGTTACCCTTAAATAAATAAATAAGTAAAGTCTGTTTTTTTTTTTAAAGATAAAAGTCAAAATGACATTATGTTGGCAATACAATGTAAAATTGTCAATGTTTTCAAATTTTCTATGTAGAAAAGGCTTGTGTTGCCAACATAGTTACTAAATTTTTGACTTGGGGAATTATCTTTAAATAAAAAACAAACATTAAATTGTCTTAATTGCCAATTTAAAATTTAGTTTTTTCTGTGGAAAATATTCAAGGGACATGTAAAAGCGATAATTAATCTGATGACTAATATCAGATATACCTACGTATATTTCATAAATGTATCAACTGAATATACAGTGTCCGCGGAAAAGTCTGCACCATATGGGAAATTTTTTTTTGCTCATCCTTACTTTAAATCGGTTTTTGGCATTACGTACTTGCCTCACACCTGTCAAATGCCAATTTGAAAGTTTCAAACAAGAAAAAGTGGAATTTTTATCAAAAATACGAAAAAATTTTATAAGAAAATATTGTTCCAAATGATATTTAGAGTCTAATTTGATATTTTTGCTTTGAAGAAAATATATTTCAAAGCATACAATTTTTAAAATAGTCCAGAGGCGTATCAAGATTTTAATAGAAATATTTCTTTTTGATGTTTAAACTCTTAATTAGATTATTAGGATTTGAAAAACCATTAGTCAGATACAAACTAATTATTTTAGAGAAATGGTCGCGAAAGAAATCCTAAAAATATTATTTTTTTGTAGATATTCGAAAAAAATTTAAAAAAATAAATATTTTTTTTTTCAAAGCAAAAAATATCAAATTGGACTCTAAATGTCATTTGGAACAATATTTTCCTATAAAATTTTTCCATATTTTTCATAAAAATGCCAGTTTTCCTTGTTTGAAATTTTCAAATGGCATTTGACAGGTGTGAGGCAAGTCTCGAGTCAAAAATTTTAGGTTTTTTTTTGGTTTTCAATCATGCAGAACCTAATGCCAAAAACCGATTTGAAGTAAAGATGAGCATAAAAAAATTTCTCATATGGTGCAGACTTTTCCGCGGGCACTGTATATTTCAAATATTCCAAATTGGTTATGGTGAGAGTATTATGCTTTGAATAATATCATCTTTCAACAATAGTCTATGAATATTAAATTTAGTCCAAAGACGACACAAAATTATCTGGCAAACGAACAACATATTTTGTCATAGAACAAAAATATATTTCTTCACTAAAAATAGATACATGCGTGGGAGGAAGAAGCTTTTATTTTCAATAATTAATGTACCTTTGAATATCGGATGTGAAATGTATTTTATAAGAACAGTTAATTTTTTTTTTACCTCTAGGATCACCACGCATATCACCACCACCGGCCATTTGACGCATCTGTTCGCGCGGGTCAAGCTGTCTGGGGTCTATTCCAGAAGCTGCAGCGGCTGCGCGCAAATCAGGACGCATACCGTCCATAGCAGCTACGGCAGCTGCTGCTGCAGCTGCTCTTGGATCGCCAGCAGCTCTAGGATCTCCCCAACCAGAAGCATTGCCTCCGGCTGCACCTGCGACTCGCTTATTTGAATCTATTTGAAAATAATATTGTTTAATAAACATCTTAGACATTGAAAAAGTTTCTTACCTCCCCACATTGCATTCGAATTATTATTTCCCCCCCATTGCTGCTGATTATTAGGAACTCCGGTCCATACATTTGAACTATCGGCAGAGTCGTCATCTTCACCCCAAGTCCCGCCAATGTTGGTGGATGGAGTATGACCCCAGGGAGTTTTTTGTTGAGGCTGTGGTGGAGGTTGTCCTCCGTTACGCAAATTAGCCTCCCACAGTTCGGTGCCGTTGTTGACAGCAGGCTTCCATGGAGGAGGTCCACCGGATCCGTCCATTTTCATTGCAGCCGGTTCTGGACTGGCAGGTATGTCCCAGGAGGTATCTTGATTGACGTGCTGCTGCAATCAATAACAAAGATCCATTAGGATACATTTTTTTTCACAAATTTATTTGTTGTGGGCAGAACTATGCCACTAAATGGGAGATAACATAATATCTTTGGAAGTTATCTCATAAAGAATGTAAATTGGGTTACTTCTTCAATGCTGCTGCTAGTGTGGCTACCCAAAACGATATTTGAAAATAGATGCTAACTGAAGGTTTGGTATTTTGTCAGAAAAAGTGAAGAGCAATGGAAGATTGAATTTTTGATAAATATAAATGTTATTGAATGGGTCAAAAACTTGGGTATACATATCAGAAACATGTAAAGTATCTCTTGCAAAACTCTTTTGTGGAGGGAATTTTTTTTGCATGTCCGAATTTTCTGGGTGTTCAATTATTTATGTATTTATTTATTCATTGGTTTGTATTAGCAGCATTCAGACTGAGGCTCGATTTATTCACTTTCAGAGCTGTCAGATAATGCAATGTGAAGGATTAAAACGCAATCTATGATCCTATTGGTAGGCTGGATACTAATTTGCTATATTATTTGCCTTATGAACAGCTACCAGCAAGTTTATCGGAAGGATAATAAACTGGGTCTTGAACATTCAGACATAAACTGCAGTATTTTGAGAATATATGCCAGTTGAAACTTGAAATGGCTTTGAATACTGTGATTTTGACAAAGTTAATGAGAAATTCATCAATGTATGTACACACACCGGTAAAATTAGGGGAACGGACAAAATTCACACTAAGTTTGAGATCAATTTTCTCTTGAACCCTCCGCTTCATTTCGATAAATTTTTCACAGATTGTAGGCTGATTCTTCAGGAATACACCTGACGTATTACCGTTAATAAATGATTCGTCTTAATATGATATACAGGGATGGAAAGAAAGTCAGTAATTTTCAGAACTTTTTGAGACTCCCTGGAAATTCAGAACAGTTTTCAACACCAAAAAGTCATGTGTGTGAATGTTTACTTCAAGTTAAATATTGTTCGCAGTTTTACCTCTTACTGATCAATTTATTGTGGAAAAAATGCTCACAAATATACAGGGGGATCAGAAAGTACTTTTCATGATTTCCATTTGGTGGAATGTTATTTATCTAAACTATACAGGGTGACATTTTAAAAACTTACAATGGCTATATCTCAGGAACCAAAAAAAATATAAAAAATCGCTGAGAACAATTTCTATAGTAGGGAGGGGGAAACATGATTATATAATAACTAACTTGTTTTTACTCACCTCCTCACCCCAACTAAATAATCTCAAATATCAACCCCCTACTTGTGATACCTGTTTTTACTATATTAAAATGTCACCCTGTATATACTCTCCCTTCACACTTGAACCAGGCTTAGGAGTTCTCCAATTTATCCTTCAACAGACCTGGCCACATCGGTCGGATATTGACGAATTTATCTTATTTGAACAGGAAAAACTAAGTTTACGTTGATAATATTGAAAATATCAGAGTGAATAAATCAATCAATCAATCAATCAATATATGCTTTATTGTCGTAAAAATACAATTGATCTTTATAGACAAAGCAAAGTATAGGGCTTTAAAACAAAATAAAATAAAATATAAAGACATATAAAATCACAACATTTAAATACAAAAATTTTACAAATAAAATCAAAAGAAAATACAAATAATAGAAACATAAGGTCCGTTTCACCAGGGTTCATACTTGACCTTGAAACTTGAAAAAAAGGGTTGTCGAAGATTAATTCATGTGACACATTCAATTTTTTTGACAAATTAAAATTAATGACTTCTGGTTTAAGAGCCAACGAACGTTTTTGACGTTACTGATTTGTTTCAGTCAATTTTTATTTGTTAAACAAGGAAGGTAAATGCTGGTGGGAAGTACAAACCCTGGCGAAACAAACTTTACTTAAGCAAAATAAACGTTGGCCTAACAAAATCTTAACTTATATATAAATACCCGGTTTATTTTTATAACCTGTCATCAAAATATTCATCCAAGGAATAATAGGCTTTATCAACCAGCAACGCTTTTACCGTTCTTCTAAATATGTATATTATGTAGTCTTCTACAGTCAGATGGCAATTTATTGAAAATCTTAATGCTGTCATAAATCAGGGATTGCTTTGTAAGGCTGGATCTTGGAATTGGGAGGGGAATATTTTCCTGGTTCCTAAAGTTATAGCTCTGGGCAAAGATTACATCCCTGAATTTTTTAAAAATTAAGCAAACTGTTTCCAATATAAAAATGCATGTGACAGTTAAAATCTGATGTTTCAAAAATAGGGGCTTGCAATGTTCTCTTACATCAGCCCCACATAAGTATCTTATTGCCCTCTTCTGCAAAACAAATACCGAATCCAAAAGGGTTCTGTTACAGCAACCCCAGAATGCCACTCCATAACGCAAAAACGACTCAATCAAAGCAAAATATGTTGTCCTGGCCATTCTGAATCCCAACGCAGAAACTGTTTGACGCACGGCAAAACACCCCGAGGCTAGTTTCCTATTTAAATTTGTTATGTGCTCACTAAACTTTAGTCTATCATCAATATAGATTCCCAGAAATTTTGCAGTATTAGAACCCCTTATTACCTTGTCACCAAGGGGAATGTCACTAATGGATAGCTTGAAACTTAAAACCTTTGTTTTTTCTATGTTAAAACAGAGAAAGTTGCTATTGCACCACTCTTTAATCTTGCCCATATCCTCAGAAATAATCTGTTTTAAAACCTCTGGGTCTTTATGATGCCATAAAACAGTGGTGTCGTCAGCAAAGATAGTAAAAAAACCTTGTATATTAGTTCTAATTAAATCGTTGATGTATCTTCAAGCATTCAGGAAAGTTCCCCGTATTATTGTTATCTGTAAATTTTTTCAAATAGCAGAGGCATCTTAGATTTTTCGTAGAAACCCTTATCCCTTTTGAAATCCAGAGCTGCTTTTTGTTTTTTTGCCTCATTCGACACACTGGAAAAGACATGTCAAATGACCCCTTCAACAGCGAATGAAATTCCTGAACAGGATCACCTGATCTTAGAATAATATTCCAGTTAATTTCTGAACAGCTTCGCTTAAACTTATTAAAATTTTTCCTACTATATATTCTGCCCATTTTTTTTGGAATTTTAGTGGTGAAGTTCACCAAAATAGGACATTCTGCAACAACAGAGTCATGATCTGAAAAATTTACGTTTGTAACTTGACACTTTATTTCATCTTCCATAAAATTTGTACAAAAATAATCAATCATTGTAGCGCTAGAATCAGTTGTTCTTGTTGGTTCTTTAACTAACATTTTAATTCCAAAAGATGTTAACAAATTTCGTAAGGCATGAGTACTTGGGGAATTAGTATCTTCATAATTTATATTTAAATCACCAGATAAAATAATTTTAAAATGTACGGAAAAGATCAGGCTATTTGGTGTTGAAAACTGTTCTGAATTTCCAGTGGTTCACTCTACAGGGTGTCTCAAAAAACTCTGAAAATTACTGATTTTTTTCCATACCTGTATATGATACAAAGACGAATCATTTAATAATGGTGATATGTCAGATGTATTCCTGAAGAATCAAGCTAGAATCTGTAAAAAATTCATCAAAATCGAAAGGAAGGTTCACGAGAAAATTGATATTAAACTTAGTGTAAATCTTTTCCGTTCCCCAATTTTGCCAACAATTTTTGCATGCAGAATACTTGAACCAAGAAATAAAATAAATGAAAAATGTTCTCAAAATCCCTTTTTTTTCCAAAAATAAGAATTAAAATTAAAATACTTACGCCACCCCAGCCATCGGTGCTGAATATAGCCTCGCGCATGTTGTTTAATTGCTCAAGTTGTTGCTTAGTCGAATTGCTAGTGTTGTTTGGTTGCTGGTTTTGGGCGTTGTTGTTGGTCGAAGCTGTAGATGTGGGCGGTGGTCCATTAGTGCCCGGTTGAGGCTTACTATTGGCACCTGGCTGGCCCCATCCTCCAGTACTGTTCGATTGTGTGGTAGGTGGCTGTTGACCGCCAGTGTTCGTTTTGTTGGCTGGAAAAAAGTTGTTTATCTCTCAAATATACTTAACAGCATGTAGGACAAATACAAAATCAATCTTTATAACCGAAAATATAGCTCTTGGTTAGCATAGACAGTAGACAAAGTACTTCTAGAATGTATTAGTGACAAACATTTTTTCAACATGGCGTGTACAGAACAATTTAATAATTGAATTGAAGAAAAACAATGTTTTTACCATCGCTTTGTGAAGAAGCTGGTGGACGATTAGCATTGTTGTTCCACTGCTGGCTACCTGCGTTGTTCTGATTTGAGGGGTTGGCTGTACCCCAGCCGCTCGTGTTATTCACTAAACAGAGAGAAAACAGATTTCGTTGACTGCTGAGAGCAAAAAAAAAAGTCTGAATTTCTGGCAACAAGGATGCTAATTGCCACCAAACGCTAATATATTTTGTCAAGATTTTAATTTTGAAAGAAAGATACCGCATGCGCTTGTGTGTGTAGTATTTTAAGACATTAACCACACTTTGATGTAGAAACACTAAACATGAAAACGTCACTTACTGTTGTTATTGTTGGCATTCTGAGACGGAGGTGTGCCCCATCCAGATGTACCTGTGCTGAGGGAGCTTTCACCGCCTCCCCTTAGCCTCAAAGGTACCGAAAAGGTTTCCGGGTTGTCGTCTAAGGTTGTGCGCAATTTCCTTAGTCTATGGGTGAATAATAATTATTAGTGACAGTTTTGCAATTTGCAAATTGGGTGTTTTTGTCATTGGTAGATTACTCACTTGTGGCACAGATCATAATCTCCAATGTCAGTACGTTCTTTGTCCATATCGTTGTTATCGCAATAAAGAGCAGTCACATTTAGGTTTTCCATCAGAGTGTCGAGTACTTCGAGGTCATCAGACTTTTGGTTGGGAATGTCTTGTCCGAAGGGCAAAGCACCAAACTTACAACTATCTTCTACCTTATCGCTAACTACATTATTATTATTATTATTAGTTAAATTATTGTGGGCGACCGTGTCATTACGGTCATTACGTTGTATTTTTGGTACGGTAACAGAGTTCAGAAGACAGTTATCGGTCACAGATTGCAGCTTAAGATTAAGGGCTGAGGCCTCGCCACGCTGTATTGTTGCGGGGCCGCAGCCAGAGCCGGATATCACAGATGAGGCGGCGTGCTCCCCGCCAGGGGCGCCAACGCCAAAAGGGCAGGTCGGGGGGTCGGCTCGACCCCCCCTATACGCCCGAGCGATTTCGTCTTGTTGTACTGGTTGGGGTGCGCTGCCCCGCATGGCTGACTCTTGAGGCACTTGGTAGGTAGGAAATATATTAGACTTCGGCTCGGAGGGGGTGGGGGCGCGCATCGTCATTAGTGCTCCATATCAGTCTGGCCAGCCAGAGAGATCTGTAACAATGTATAGATTTCTCTTAACAATTTTTATACCGGATGGTTCTAGATGTCCCCGAAATTGAACAATTCCAGAGTTAATTTCTATGCCAAATACAAAGCAATCAAATTCCACAAAAAAAATATATATATTTTCCTAACTGTTCCATTGAGGAGTACAAGTTCAATTAACACATTTGCAGAAATAGACTGGCTAATATGCAAATAACTTTTTATTTAGTCTAGACGCCTAGCCATTTGGTTCATATAGGTTTGTTTATGTCATTCAGTAACACCTTTAAATTTCCAATGGGGAAAGCGTTTGCTTATACAGGATGTTTGGTATATCGATGGGAATATTTCAATGAGGGAAAGTTGGGGTGCCTGGGGTGGTCATTTGGAAGCTATTTGACCATATTTACCCTCATGCAAAGTTTCGTCGTTTTTTGAGATATAGCCATTTTTAGATATTTTGAATCCATGTATTTTAACACATAACTTGGGCTACATATTTTTTGTAACAATTATTCGGTTTTTCTTTCCGTATTTTTCCGAACGATTGCATATTAGAAATATCGGAATAAAATTGGGAAAGGTTAAATGTGGTCAAAAAGCTCTCAAATGACCCCAACTATCATTCAAATTCATTCATTCCTATCGATGTACCAAACACCCTGTATATTGCTTTAACGCTCTAAGCAAATAGATGACAATTTGGCGTGACAGTTTTTGAATAGTTGTTAATTTCTAACGTACCATTAAAGATACTATTCGTATTATAAACTTTCGGGTTTAAATGAAAATCATAATCAAATACAAAACATGGTGGCAGCGGAAAAGCGACGAAAATTGCAATAATTTTCAGCTCAGTCCCACGTTTATTGTGGTGCTCAAGCTTGTGAAATGATATACATAATTGATGATATTCGTAGTTTCACGTGCTTGTAAGATTGCTGAATTAAGAGATATCTCAAGATGTCGGAACAAGGACGAACACCGGAACGATTTAGCTTCGATGGCATTAATATTGCCAATAACTGGACATTCTGGAAACAGAAATTTGATTTAGATGTCGCATACTTCATAAACGGACCACCCTGTATATTCAAAAATATTTTTAACTAATGCATATAGAGTATCAAACAACTTTGTAACTTAAATTTTTTTCTTGCATCACCCTGTAGGGAGATATCGTCCGATATCGCACTAAGTGAACACCCTGTTTATTAACACTGACTATTTGGAAAATAATTTGAGAGTATATTTAATAGTATCTACTTCAAAACAAAATGAAGAGAGACTCCAAAATCGAACGAGACCCAGTACTATACAGAAGATAGAGTTTTATGTTTTGAATGGTTGGCCTTAACATAAAAAATCCGTGCACAGTGAAGTTAAAAAATATTGGCAAATCAGGAATGACATTTACCTTCACAAAGACGTTCTGTTTTATCATAGGAGACTTATTATTCCCGAAGCCTTTAAATCAGAATTTCTAGAAATTATTCATCAGAGTGTAGTGTCGTGTAAGAAGAAAGCCCAAGAAGCCATTATTACCCAGGCCTTCCAAGTGACATTGAAAAAATGGTGTTAAATTGTCTTATCTGTCAATCATAATCGAGAAGTAATGTGCGCGAATCTCTAACTCCACATCTGTAGCAGAGAGGTAAATAGTCGTAACTCCACTTTTTATCAATATTGAGTTAATATCATTTTCAAAGTGCCCGCTTTCAATTTGTTAGTGTGGCAAAAAATCGTACGTCCCGCTTTGTTGGTTGCCTGTATTTTTAGTTTTTATAAAGACAGTAACTCCATGTATTAGTGGGGTAAAGAATAGTATGTCCTTCACATACTATTCTGTTAATGTTTACCTACCATCAAAATTCTTAGTGGTAAACAGTAGTAACTCCACGAAACGGCGTACTGCTGATTTTTTTTAAGTATTTTTAGTGTTTTGAAATGAGGAAAGGTGATAAAAGACATAATATGTTGATTAGGTTGAAAAATATTGTTGTAAAACAAAAGGTCAAGATAGTTCCGATGAAGAAGACAGCGAATAAATTTTGCCTTGTACAAATCATAATCTTTTTTGTCTAGGACATCTTCTTGAAAATAATTACATTTTTTAAAGTATTTTGTGTTCATTAATCATGTTAGCGATAAGCAATAAAACTGGTTTTGCAATATAAGACTCGAGATAAGACTTCTATTTTAATGATTACCTGTTTTTTCAAATTGAGGTAAAAAGTCGTAAATCCAAAATCAAGATACAGGTAAGTATGGCTGAAATAATGGTATTGGTTATCAAAACTGCTAATTAAGTTAAGTAGCATACCATAATAACAGCTTGGTACCGTGTATAAAAATAAGTCAAATTTTAAAGTGAGTTAGCATTTCAACTTGTTTTCTTCTTTACTGAACTTTTTTATTTATGGACATACCATTGTTTACCTCTCTGCTACAGACATAGAATACCAGATTTTCCGTGGCAAAAAGTCGGTATTAACTTCATGAAGGTAGCATCACAGGATTTTCTAGTTTTAGTGGACTACTTTTCAAAATTTACCGTAGTTAATAAACTCTCTAGAAAAACCGCCAACAGCGTAATTTCGAGCCTTGAAAACATTTCTGCAATAAATGGAATTCCATTTGAAATTTTTTCAGACAATGGACCACCATACACTTCTAAAGAGTTTTTGAGTTTTGCGAAAAAATATGACATAACGCTGACAACTTCCAGCCCCTTATATCTCCGAAGCAACAGTTTGGTTGAAAGAACCACTCAAACAATAAAACTATTTGTAAAAGCATATCAGAGCGACAAGGACCCCTTCTTGGCTATTTTCGACTACAATAGCACTCCAAAAGAAAATTTTCCAGCTCCATCACAGCTTTTACTAGGCTCAGAACAAACTTGCCGGTCAAAACAGAAATCTTAACTCCAAATTATTTACCAAAAAATATATCCAAGGAAAATCAAGATAAACTAACTGAAAACCAAATTAAACAAAAAGTTATGTTAAAAAATGGCCCGAGTGATTATACAGTGAAAGTAAACGAGTATAGGCGTAATAGGCAACTTCTTTGCGACAGCCTGAGGCAAGAGACCACTTCCCAGAATCAACTGCCCTTCATCATGATACAAAATGTTTCAAACAAGCTAAATAGTACATCAGATTGTGAGGATCAACCAGCTATATCTCCCACAAGATCCGTGGAGACTCACATGAAGGCTCAGATGAACGATGATACTATTCATATTATAAACTTTCGAGTTTTAATAAAAATCATAATACAACACAAAACATTACATTTCCCAAATTAAGATAAGATACCTACTTTTAGTACCTAAGGAAATTCTCCCAAACCTTTCAGAAAACATAACTTAACTCTCCAACTTAACGGAAGAACTGCAAACTAATTATTAGACGAAAACACCTGTAAAATAATGACCACTCTGTATACTAATAAAAATAATGATAATATCACCTATCCTTCAAAAATTGAATTGCCAAGAAACAACAACAAAATCCTCTAGCAAATAATCAGTTTCAAATTACTTGAAAGAGAAACGGTTTGTTTTACATTCTATCCATGTACAAAACTAGAATTACAACATTCGCTCGATTTATTTTGTACCTTCCTTATCAAAAAAGCTGGCGATAAGATTAAACACAAACACCAACTAAATAACATATTGTGGCGGTTTTGTTGTTCCATCCAGCCTAAAAACACAATACTGGCGAATATTTTTAGCCTTTGAGGTACCAATTAATAAAATATGTATAAGTTTAATTACGTCGTACGCCTTTTCAATATTAAAATATGCTAATAGGGGTTTTTGGTTCAACAATATATTTCTGATTTGCGATAATGGACTACATTTTTGTTGCTAAGGAGGCAATTTTGTGGTGGCAAATTGAATTGGTTTGATAAAGGATTTTATTTGAAAAAATAATTACCTTTTGAATTTTGGATAAAAATAATGAAACTCGTAAAAATTTATCTTTAAGTTTAATATCTTCAAGGCAAACAATTTTTTACATTGATAACATATACCCAAGTCAATATTAGTTTTATTTTTTTCCTAACAAATCACAAAAATATCACTAATTATTTTTTATTGTTCCTAGTAACATTATGTATAGCCCAATTTAAAGATGTTTTCCACGAGTTTTTCAAAGCATCGGAAAACTTGATCCTAAACTGTTCTAATGCATCTTCTTCGCTTTCTGCCATTGCCAACGTGTCCCTAACATAATCAAGATCCTTTTCAGAACTTAATTCTGGTAGACCTGTAGAAACCATCATAGAAAGTAAAGATAAAATCAAATCACCTTGCCTTCTTAAAATCAAAAAGGCATTCTCACATTGCTCTTGAAACTTTTTAAATTTTTCTGCATCCTCTTTTCCGCCTGTTATTACATTGACAAAATCATATGTTAGTATAAACGGTACGCGTTCTCGTCTAATGCCAAACTTTTCTTTAAAATTACCAAGTATATGACCAAAATCTATATGAAAAAGTTGTCCATTTTGATGTATCATGATATTATCCGAATGTCTATCACCAATACCTAAAACATAGGTAGCAACACAATAGCCAGTACATGAAAGAGTAAATTCGTTGATTGCTTTCGAAAGAGCCACTTCTGTAAGGTTAAAGCATTTTAACCATGCTAAAAGTAAATTTTTCTTAAGAGGTGCAATCGCCTTACAACCACCAATGTTTGCTAAAGTGTCTGCTCTTAAAACTGCCTCTATCATTCCTATTCTATTCTCAAGTGATATGCATTTATATAAATTCATTCTCAGGTCAAGTCCATTTTGTTTCCATAGTTTATCAAATATTTTCAACATTTGTAATATCAACATATCTTGCCTAAGATCATCACCATTTTTGAATATAACATTGATATCCTCCATTTTCTTGTCAAAGTTTTCATAAACTATCCATAAAGGCATTTTTTTGCTGTCCATTACTTTACACTTTTCCACCTTGATTAAATGGCATTTAT